CCCCTACAACCTGGCCTACAAGTACAACTTTGACTACGCTGTGATCTTCAACATCGTCCTGTGGCTAATGATCGTGTTAGCATTAGCCGTCATCGCTATCTCCTACAACCTCTGGAACATGGATCCGGGATACGATAGCATCATCTACAGGATGACCAATCAGAAGATCCGACTGGACTGAAGAAGTCCGTCACATTCCATTCCATTTGTGTGTGTGTGTTTAAATGTGTGTGTGTGTTTTTTTTTTTTGATGTCATTGTACAAATGCTTTGTCTTTAAGACTCAATCAAACACAGAGATACAGATTATTTATTGTTGGAGAATCCTAATCGTTGTATGGTGTGAATCTACTGAAGTGGATGTAAAGAGTTCAGATTTAACATATTTATTATTGTTTGTCGTTCACTTGATTGTGCTCTTTACCGTCCTGAAGACTGGATGTAGTGTAATTACACCATTCCTGTGTACATTAGCTCTGAATTGCTGTCATTTTCATTGAGTAGAGCTAGAAAGTGGGAAATGAGACATTTAAGGTATGATGTTTTGTTGTGTATAGATGTTGTTCATGCTTATTGTGTACAAATGCAAGTGTAACTCAAATAATAAAACAAAATTCCATCACTTACAACAGTTTTTAATGTCTTTGAGTCACAAGTACACACGTTCACAATACTGTACCAAGCCAATTTACAGGGTTCTGAAGTCTTAAAATGTCTCAAATTTCATAAAACAAAATTTTAGGCCTTAAAAAGACTGAAAAATGAAATATTGTGTCGCAAGTCTTAAATTATTTTAAACAGGTCTTAATTTTACTATATCCATGTAAAGCTACCCAATCGGGCCAACATGCATTCAATCACTAACATTCCATCTCAATAACATGTTTTATTGGGCCATTAGAAAAAAATCCTTAGCCTTTAGACTTGTGTAAGTCTAAAGTTTAATTTATACTGGTCTTAAAAAGGTCTTACAATGTCTCAAATTTCATAAAACAAAATTTTAGGCCTTAAAAAGTCTTAAAATGACTGAAATATTGTGTTGTAAGGCTTAAATCTTTTTAAACAGGTCTTAATTTTACTACGTCCATGTAAAGCTACCCAATCGGGCCAACATGCATCCAATCACTAACATTCCATCTCAATAACATGTTTTAACTGGGCCATTAGAAAAAATCCTAAGCGTTTAGCCTTGTGTAAGTCAGAAATTTAATTTATTATGGTCTTAAAAGGTCTTTAAATTTTGTAAAAATAAATTTTAGGCCTTAAAAAGTATTAAAATGACTGAAATATTGTGTTGTAAGTCTTAAATCATTTTACACAAGTCTGAGTTTTCCAATATTCATGTAAAGCTACCCAATCAGGCCAACATGCATCCAACCACTAACATTCCATCTCATTAACATATGTTTTTTTTTATATTTTAACTGGGTCATTAGAAAACATCCTTAGCGTTTAGACTTGTGGAAGTCTAACATTTAATTTATAATGGTCTTTAAAAAGTCCTAAAAAGTCTTACATTTCGTAAAAGTAAAAGTGTAAGTCTTAAATCATTTTAAACAAGTCTGAATTTTCCTATATCCATGTTAAGCTACCCAACAATCAGGTCAACATGCATCCAGTCACTAATATTCCATCTCAATGAAAGGTTTACCAAACTTTACTTATTAACAATTTATTACCAATATGGTTTATCTTCCTTACCAAAATATGTTTTTTTTTATGTTTTACCTGGGCCATTAGAATAAATTCTTAGTGTTTAGCCCTGTGTCTGAAAAAAGAAAAGTCTGAACTTTAATTTATAATGGTCTTAAAAAGGTCTTAAATTTCGTAAAACAAACTTTTAGACCCTAAAAAGTCTTTAAATGACTGAAATATTGTGTTGTAAGTCTTAAATAATTTTAAACAGTTCTTAATTTTCCTATAAAGCTACCCAATCAAGACAACATGCGTCCAATCATTAACATTGAATCTCAATAAATTTTAGCAAAACTTTATTTGTTAACTATTTATTACAAATATGGTTTATCTTTCTTACAATAACATATGTTTTTTAAGGTTTTATGTGGGCCATTAGAAAATATATTTATCTATTAGCCTCGTGTTAATTTATATTGGTCTTTACATTTTAAAATGTCTTAAATTTCGTAAAGACTAAATTTTAAGCCATCTCAATAACATTTGTTTTACTGGGCCATTAGAAAAAATCTTAAGCGTTTAGCCTTGTGCATGTCTGAAATTTTATTTATGGTCTTACATTTGACTCGATGAAACATGTAGAAAACCCTGATTTAACCATTGCAAAAAAACAAATGATTGCACAACACTTTGTTATTGTGAAGTACAACAAAAAATGAAACCTTTTAGCATATTTATGTAATACATGTAGACAGTTTTTAGAGGGGGAGAGGGTGTTAAAAAACAAGAAGTGGCTCTTTCTCAATTGTGATCACAAGTGTTGCTAAAAAGAAAAAATAAGCGTCTAGACCTGCATGTATTTTCAGCTGTCTTGCATATTCAATATTTTCTGTGTTATGATGCAGGAAGTTGAACACTGAGGAAAAGAAAAGTTGTTTCTAGTCTTGTCTAATTGAAGAGTACAGATGCAAAAAACTTTGAATTTTCTCCTAAATTGAGCATTTATTTAGCCTGCTATGTTTATGTTGAGTTATTTTACTTTAAAGGCAATGAAAATAACTTATTTGTCACTATAAAAGTACAAGTACTGAGCCTGCACACATGGTTTAGAAAAAAACGCTCATTTTATAAGAAAATATCAATATTTCCATCTAAACTCTTCAATTGTGCTTGTGTACCTTTTAGTTGTGTAGACTTTAGCTAAATTGCCTGATCAGGTCGGAAGTGTAGCTAAAATAGCAATACCAGATTGTGAAATTAATTAATAGGAAAGTTCATCCAAATTTAAGTTTTCTTACTGTTTAATCACCCTTGAGGGGTAACAAAACATTTAGAGTTTGTTCTGTTGAACACAAAAGATGATTTTTTTGATGAAGGCTGAAAACCATCAACCACTGACTCCATTGGGACAACAACAAATACTTTGGAAGTCAGTTTTCCAGCATTCTTCAAATTACCTTCTTTTGTGTTTAACAAAGAAACACCTAAAGGTTTGAAAGAGGTAAAGGGTGAGAATGATGACAAAATGTTCATTTTTGAGTGAAGTCATATTTTAATTCCTTTAAGTCATATTTAGAATTAGGGCTGGGCCAATAAACGACATTATATAGAATCGCGATAATTTATGTCAATAACAATGATACGCTCTGGATTTTTTTTACTCTATATTGATCCAAGAGCTAATCACAAAGCAGAAATGTACAAAAATGGAAATTTAGAAGTGTGTTTGATATTAGAGACGTTCCGAATTTTTCGACCTCCAAAAATTTATCGGCTGAAAATGTTATGCCATTTAATGGACCTTTTCATTTTTGTGGCGTCAGTGCTTATTGCTGCTTTTAAATCTGAAATCATTAACTACTGATATTGAAATGTATATCATTATTGTTCAATATGGAAAAGAGTTATCAAGATTGCATTTTTGCCTTATTGCCCAGTCCTGAAAGAATATGGATGGATGGATGATAGATAGATAGATAGATTTTAATTCCAGGAAATTTCTGTAATTTAACAGACGATATTTTACTTTAAATGTCTGTATTTTTTTTTTCTTTTATAATTCTTTTTTTAGAGGGTTTCACCTTTATTGACAGGACAGTGGAGATTAACAGACAGGAAAGTATGGGGAGCAGAGAAAGAAGAAGGATCGACAAAGGACCTCAAGCTGGGAATCGAACTCGGGTCGCCGCGAGCACCTGGATACTGTAAGTCAACGCACTAACCACTAGGCTATTGGTGTCGACAAATGTCATTAATTTAAAGGATTTTTTTTTCTGGCACCCCAGCTACCAGAAAAAATAGTAAAATAACAGATTTTTTCACAGTGTATTTTAACATAATTGAACAAATAAAATGCGATTTTTTTTTTTAGCTAAACATAAACGAAACAAATAAGAACAAGGTTAATTTAATTTTATAAATACATCTGATGTGCTTTAAATACTTCTTATTAATTCATCTATTGTGTTGAGTATGGAGCTGCGTCAATTTCCCCCCCAAATTTGCTTTTTCTACAGCTCAATATATTCATACTATATTCATATCTTTTTTACTTATTAAATCTAATAGTATTCGATTTTAACAGATTTAGATTGATTCTTAGAAATCTGACAACATACATTAAATAAAAAATCCGCACAGATAAAATGAAATCAAAACAACCCAGGATCATTCTGAAAACGCACCCCCATATACATTTCTGGAGATCACAAAATCCGTTCCAGGAGCTACGTTTTTTGCCGTTTTTATTTTGCAAATCCACCGGAGGCCGCTGTGTATGCTTTTTAAGATCCCAAATTTCTCTCGCTAGTGATACCAAAGGTGCTGCTGTCGACTGACTGAATGACTGATCAACGGACCCCCGCTCCTCCTTCCCTACACCCAACCAATAGTGTTTTCAAAAGCACCAATTGACCAGCTCACCCACTTCCCTAAACCCAACCAACCGTTTTAAAAAGCAATCTAAAAAAAGAAAGCCCTCGCCTGATTTTACCACGTTTTAGGTTTTACCACATTCTCACCGATATCTACTTGATTATTTTATTTTTTGGCTTCTGTTTTTGTCTTACCTGCTTTCTGGAACTAGAAACCAGACTAGAACCCAGTCGTCCTGGTCAACTTCTGTCAGTGTCTCAAGTCTGCCTATGCACATGGCAAGCTAACCGGACAAACTGGTAACAGCAGGAAAGTCGTCCACATGGAGGTAAGCAGTCCGCTGGTGCGAACAGGAATGGCGTCATACTGCCCTGTAGTGTTCGTTTTAAAGACAAAATGCAGCTATACGTACTTCTGGCTACATAATTCGCAATCTCCAGAAATGTATATTAGGCTATGTCTTCACGTTGAATCAAAATGTTACAAACAGTTCATGATAAACTTTATTGTGATTCACTTGAGCGTAATAAGGCCTGTGTTTATTGTTATCATTGACACTCACTGTAACCTCAAACAACATCCTTCAAGATGCATGTCAACAAATACATATAGCAACATTCAACATTTTATATATTGTATAAATAGTTCAAGCAAACAGTGATTGAAACACGTGTATATGATTCATCTTTCTAACAATAGTCTAAAAATAATTAGAACAAGCCCACAACAAGGTGTCAAATCCTTTTGGAGCAACTTTGCAGCTTGCATGAAGTGTTGATCTCTGCTCGATTTAGCTTTTTTGTTTACCTCGTCTGTGGCCTTGGCTTCTGAAGAAGTACATAAGTGCCATTTACCTGATGAGGACTTTCTGTGCTGACATGTGTTGGCAACTCGATTTCAGAATACTGCAAGAAAAAAAAAATAAATAAATGAAAAAAAATAAATATATATATATATATATATATATATATATATATATATATATATATATATATATATATATATATATATACACACACACACACACACACACACACATATATATATATATATATATATATATATATATATATATATATATATATATATATATACAGGGCTCGAAATTAACTTTTTTACTTGGTAGCACCGGTGCTCCCAACTTCAAAAATTTAGGAGCACCAGAAAAAATTTAGGAGCACCCACCAAAAATGATTGAGCACCACTGCAAATTGTATTTTAAGGGATTTATTGTATTTTAAAACAACATCAATTAGGACTAACAAAAACCAGAAACAACTATAACTAATGCTGAGATTACATTGATATTTGTGTGCAATAATTAAAAAATGTGTGTCTAATAGTTCTAGAATATTAATGATGATGAAAATGACAATAATAGTAACAATGAATTACATTTCTCATCATCATGCTGCCTTGAATGTGTTTGAATGTAAGTTATCTGCTATAAAAAGTCTGTTACTTTATGAAAAATAAATGTATAGTTTGCATCAAACAAAAATGAAGCATTGCAGTAAGAAATATTTATTTTGTACTGCTAAACAGCATATATATGCATGTCAGTTTAATAAATAATATTTCTGCTGCAAAACAAACAAATTATAATAAAATATAAAATTCAAGGCTGAAAGCTGCAAAACAGTCATCTGTAACTAAAAATATATATATATACACCTCAAGAAAGAATAGGCAAAAGAAAGTAAGTAAAGTCTCACTTCTATCACTCTTTAAAAGTTTTGGTTTCAGTTTGTGTCAATTTAAATGTTCCGTCTGAGCTGATTTTCATTTTTCTGTGTTTGTGGAAAAGCAGGCGAGTCAGCCGACCCAATTTATGAGCAGATTAAGCACCGGCGCAATACCGCTGTTTGTTATGAGACGCAGTTTCAGTGTAAACTTAGTAAAGGCGAGCTTCTTTGGCGATGATACAGTATTAGATGTGACTTTTAGCGGACATTTGCACTGAACACGCAGTGTATGCAACACATCGAGATTCAGCCACCTTCTCCGAAAAGCACATACTCGATTGATCTCAGCTGGCGGATCAATATTCACCACATGTCATGATCGCTCTCATCTGCGCCTCAACTTTAGGTGGGATTTGCACTTTGCAAACCTGTGTGCTTTAAGTTTTCACACTTTAGCCGTTTGCATTTCCCGTGGACATAAAAGCTCCCTCCCTGTCATCTAACAGTGGAAAGCCTTGAGTGATTGACAGCTAATATGAACCAATATAGCGGCAGGGAAGAGCGATTCAGCACGTTTTTAAAAAAAATCAAAACAGGTCGCACTAATGCGCCCAAATATATTATGAGGTCGCATCGATTAATTTTCGGGCGCATATGCGACCAAAATGGTCGCAATTTCGAGCCCTGATATATATATATATATATATATATATATATATATATATATATATATATATATATATATATACATGCATCCAAAATATCTTTATATTGACAGTTTTTCATATTTTGTGATTTTTTTTTTTTTTTGGTTTTGAATTGCATTATGGGACATTGATCTTCTAAAAGCTTTTGATGTTGAAAAGTTAAAAAAAATTACTTTTGTTGACATTTTTAATCATTTAATGTGATATACAGTCTGGTCAGTGTCGTAAATTACGGTACAAAAACCCAGCAATAAGCTTATAAATGTTATTTTACAAACTTAGTTATATATTATATATTATTTCTTAAACAATATCTTGTCTCAAACTACTAAAATGTCAATAAAAGTCACTAATAAAACTGCAGAGTTGAATTTTAAACATAAAAAGTGTTCGGAGCAGAGAAAAAACTATACCATAATGCAATTCACAACCATAATCAAACAGAAAACACTTGTGAATTACAAAATACAGAACCTGTTTATGAGCAGAAATATTTGTACAGTGTATATAATAGAATATAAGCATGATATTAGCTTTTTTATAAACACTGTCTCCTCATACATGATATTAAACGTCAGTAAATTAAAAGAACATTTAGTAAACTATAAACATAAGCAATCGTGCTTTAAATCTTTTCCGATTTTCAAGCTGTTTAGCAAAATTCACAGCTTGAGTTGTGAAATCCCCTAAAGGACCTTTATTGCCAGCATTTCACAAAAGAGTTTATAAACGCCATCAGCTCTTTGAGAAACACTGTACGCTGATGAAACTTTTTCACTGCTTACCGGAAATTTTGTACAAATGTTTTGCCCAAATGTAATTCTCTGTTAATTCTCTAAAAAAACAGGTTTTGAACCATGGCTGCTGGTTTAAACTGGTTCTTTATGGATCTAAACTGGTGATTAAACCTAGAGCAGTGTTTTTCAACCACATTCTTGAAGGACCACAAGATGTACATGTTTCATGTCTCCTTAACCAAACACACCTGATTCATATCATCAGCTCATCAGCAGATACTAAAAGACCTGTAATGGGTATGACAGAGAAAGGAGACACCCAAAACATCAGTGCTGGTGGTCCTCAAGGAACGTGGTTGAGAAACACTGCTCTAAAAGTTGCAGCTGGGGATACTTTTGCATGCGCACATCATTTTATAGCATGAGTCGGTCTCAAACTCGATTCCTGGAGGGCCGCAGCTCTGCAGAGTTTTGCTTCAACCTTAGTCAAACACAACTGATCCAACTAATCAAGGCGTTTAGGACTACAGGGCCGGCCCGTCCTACAGGCAATATAGGGATCGCCTAGGGCTCCGCTTTTCTTGGAGGACCCCATGAAAGCTGCTCTTGATTATTTATTGTGAGGACAAGCGTGTACATTTAATGCACAAACCCCATTAAACGTGATACAATTCACAACGACGATGAGAAAAAAAAAAACGTTTCATTAAAAGAATAGCTCTGTATAATTTATACATGACAAAGCTGAAAACGATAATAAATACGCAACAGCTAAAAGCAGAAAATATTAGAAATATACCCAGCAGCACCACACTCTATTTTGCATAACACTGGGTGTAATCATCTATTGGGTGAACTAGAATGACGTCACGTATTCCTACACAGATTCCACATATCTCTCTAAATTGCTCTCTTTCGATATAAACCTGAAAAAGTCTTAAGTAATATAACATCAATCAAATTTTAATCTGAAATAAAAAAGGCATCTAAACGGCATCTTTCTGGAACCGAAAAAAAGAAGAAAAGAAAAGCAGAGGAAAAAAGCAAGCTCAAAGTAAGTTCTGCTATGCATAAAACATTGTCTATCAGTACTTTGCAATACTTACAAACTTATTTGGTTTAAATATGAGTAAATATCTTTACATATGTATTATAGGTTAAATATGTTACAGGTAATAAAAAATGTATACACTCAAATATTACAATTTGTATTTTTTGTTTTGTTCTTTTTTTTTTTTTTTTTTACTGTATTTACTCCGGTGGACCCAATTTTGTTTTTAATCTTGCCTAGGGCCCTTCAACCCTACAGTCTGGCACTGACTAGAGACTATTAAGCAGGTGTGAGATGGAAGTGATTGGATGCTAAACTGTGCAGAGCTGTGGCCCTCTAGGAATTGAGTTTGAGACCATTGGTATATAGCAATGTTTCTCAACCACGTCCCTGGAGGACCACCAGCCACAGTATGTTTTGGATGCCTCCTTTGTCTGTCACACCCATTACAGGGCTTTCAGTCTCTGCTAATGAGCTGGTGATCTGAATCAGGTGTGTTTGGTTAAGGAGACACGGAAAATGGGCTGAGCTGGTGGTCTTCCAGGAACGTGGTTGAAACACAATGGTATACAGCATAATGAAGGACTTTGTGACACTAGAGAAATTATTTTTAAATTACCGTGAGGGGTAGTGTTGGGGTAGATATTAATTAATCACAATGTAATGGGTAATTTAATAAATAATATAAGTAATTCTCACTATTGCAAACCAAATAAGACCAGCTTAAACCAATGATTGCTTATAATTTGTCAGTCATTTTGCAATAAATGTCTTACCTGTGCATTTAAGTCCTCGAGTGGCTCTAGTGGGACGTTTTGGCATTGTTGTCGACTTTTTGTGGGCTTCTTAAGTTTAGACATTAACAAACCTTTAACAGCACAATACATTTAGGTCAAGCTCATTATAAACATTTCACTTGATTTAAATGACACTATGCATGACGTAGCTTAATTTGATCATGACATTAATTATGTTTCTGTAACGCTTTCAACTTGATGGTGCGTCAGAAATCTCACCTATTATTGCAATAATCAGCACAGTGTTTAAGAGGAAGGATGCAGCAGTCAGAATCTTCTGAGTCTCGAGAGATTTATCAACTTGTGGTTGGTGCTTGTTGCACTCATTTTGATTGTGATCTTTAGTAGATTCTGTTAAAAGAGAATAAAGTAAAAAAATATAGATTTTAAAGATAAAAAATATAAAATAAAAATCAATAATTGTTTAATTGTATTTATTAAAGTCTGAAAAAAATAACGTAATATTCATTAGAATAATAAATATAATTCATCTTGATCATTTATAGCTCTAACAATATACATATCATATATGAGCAATATCACACGAGTAGCAGTGCGATATGGCTGTATATCAGCACTGGTGGGAGGCGTGCCTTAGTGCCCCCACCAGTGCTGATATACAGCCATATCGCACTGCTACTCATGTGATATTGCGTTTATACAACAGTTTGACGGCATAATTGTGAACCAGACAGAACTGTTGTATATATATATATATATATATATATATATATATATATATATATATATATATATATATATATATATATATATAACACTGTTGATATGGTTTAGAAATGCTTACCAGTGATGTTAAGTCTGATGCCACTGCTGAGCTGTATACCTGTATTGTTTCTATTTAAACAGTAATATATTCCTAATTCATCAATAGTTATGTTACTAATAAACAAACGGCTGTAAGTGAGTGATGAATATTTGCCTCTGAATCTTTCCTCTAGTAAACGAGGTGCTGTAGATTCTGATGAGTAAGTTCTCAGTATCAGCACTGGAGAATCTATCAGTTTCTGGAAAACCCAATACATCTCTTTTACACCAATCTGACAGTCTAAAGTCACGTTTTCTCCTAAATTCACCCGTTTATCAGTTAAACTCCCTGTAGTTTGACACCACAGCAGCAGATCTGCAAAGATAAAACATCATAACTCAGCCTTTACAAGTATTCAGTCACGTACACATCACTGAAATGATAGTACATCAATTTACTTACACACAAGTAGCAGTAGCACGGTCCTCATTCTGTGGTTGTTCGGCTGTTATGCAGTAAGCTGGTTAACTTAACTGTGAATATATAAGCGGAAGTGCTACCACAGACGCACAGAATGATTTTTTTTTTTTTTTTCAAAGGAAACCAAAAGACAGCCTTGAAAAGAGGATGCAGAAGCTGTACTTGAACTGACCACACTGTTTACTCATTCTGTGCGCAGGTCAAAGAGCACCAAAAGCTTGTAGCTATTTTGTTTCGGCAACAAAAATAGTTTTAAATTTATTGCTTGCATTTGTTTTTAAAAACAAAATAGAAGGACAACCTTGCAGACAGTTATGTTTGGCTATTTTCTGACAGCGCTATAGCATGTGGTTTTGCTAACCTACTTTCACGCTAAAGAGTCTGATGTACGAATGTTTGCAAATTATAGTCCTTTAAGCTACATCATTGCTACAGATTCAGAAACATGAATGCAGGATATGATGCAAGATTGTATCCCTAATCATCCTATATCCTTCTTTGATTGGATTTTTTAAAATATAAAACTATGTAATTGCTTACATAATAACTGATTAAGTATGTCTGATTACGTGTCGGGCTGCACAGTGTCTCAGTGGTTAGCACTGTCGCTTAACAGTAAGAAGGTCGCTGGTTTGAGTCCAAGCTGAGCCAGTTGGCATTTCTGTGAGGAGTTTGCATGTTCTCCCCTTGTTGGTGTGGCTTTCCCCTACAGTTTAAAGACATGTGCTATAGGAGAAATGGTTAAACAAAATTGACTGTATGTAAATGTGAGAGTGTATGGGTGTATCTCAGTACTGGGTTGCTGCTGGAAGGGCATTCATTGTGTAAAACATATGCCAAAATAGTTGGCGCTTCAATCAGCTGTGGCGACCTCTGAAATAAAGACTGAACCGGAGGAAATGAATGAATAAATGATTATGACTCATACGTTTGTTTGAAAACCTATAGCCTTGACTTTCTGCATAATATCTATGAGGACCAATCAGAATATTCAGATGAACCGATGTCACTTCCTTATTAGATTTAATTTCTAATGTCGTTCTACATCCCACTTCCAACCTAATGTTGTAGTATAGTGATGTCATGATTACTGGATTCAAGGTAAACCACGGTTAATATTCTAGTAAGTATTCATTCATTCATTTTCTTTTCAGCTTAGTCCCTTTATTAATCAGGGGTCACCACGACGGAATGAACCACCAACTTATCCAGCATAAGTTTTACGTAGCGGATGCCCTTCCAGCCACAACCCAACACCGGAAATTCTAGTAAATAATAATGTTACAAATTATTATTGCCATTAAAACTGTGAGTGATTACCATGATTTTGAAAACTCACTGCAAATCCCTTAACACTGCAATTAGCTAGTCGCTAAAGGCTACAATGTAAATACATGTTTATATTGACATTTATTAACCTATACCAGGAGTGTCCAAAGTCAGATGTGGAGGGCCGGTGTTCATATTTTAGCGCCAACTTCCTTCAATACAGTTGGCTCAGGTATAGCTAAAGAGCTTGATTAGCTGGTTCAGGTGTGTCTAATTGGGTTAAAACTAAACTATGCAGGGCACCGGCCCTCCGGGAACAAGTTTGGGCACCACTGATCTATACAGTTATTGAGAATAGGTCTACTCGCAAATGTAAATCACAAATAAAATGACAATATCAGTCAGAAACATCGCAATTGGATATTTCATTAAATCACACAACCATTTTTGTGGCTGTAAAAAAGCAGCTTTATGCAGTTTTATGGAAAAACAAAATCCACAGGTATCCCTGTGAGGTAGTTTTCCAAGTGCGGGCTTTAAAAAACAAGACATTAAATACAAAAATCAAATCTAGGCCTACCAATAATATCACTCATAAAATATTACAAACAAAATTAAACAAATCCAAAATGGATCCATTTTATTGTTGTTTGTCAAAAGATTGCATAAGTTGTTGTTGTTGTTTTTTTTTTTCATTTTCAGATACAAAATTTTGATATCTTCTTTGTGTGACATTTGTTTTGAACATTTTCAGGTCATTTTAACCAAACCGGGATAACTCTGTAATCGTGATATGAATATTTTCTCACAGTTTTTTCTATATTCAAGTCAATCACACTTCATATTTCCATGTTGAGCCCACGACGTTGCTATGGCACAATGAGAGCATTTAGCATTTTTGTTTAGATTATCACAAAAAAACCTGAACAAAACCACCCTAAAATGCTGTCTTTTATTTTAAAAACAGTGAAATGCATACAAAATATATAGTGTAATGTAAAGTTAAGGTATAATGCTTGATTCAAGTTTGACATGACTCGTCACACACGTTGGAAACAGGACTTGCTGCCATCTTGTAAGTGAGATCAAGTGATTTATCTTGCTGTGGTCGGTGTTAATTAATCTTTCCTGAAATAAGCTGAATCCCAGACAATATTTTTCCAAATAGGATTTGGGAAAATCTACATTTTGAGTAGTTTGAAATGCAAAAACCTTTATCCACTTTTCAACATTTATTTATGTCTCCATTTCTGAATAACACTTTTATCAGATGGCAAAAAGTAAACACTAAATAGTGCTACTGTACACCAAATGTGCCTTATATTTAAAGCCATAGAAAAAAATTTAAGTAAAAGCCATGGAAATAACATTTTCATCGCCCCCTGGTGGCTACCTGCAGTTTACACTATAAACCCGACCCTAAACAAATGGAGCAAGAATCAAAGCTTATAAAAATAATAATGACAAAAAATATTTTAAGTCATGGTTTCTACCATTTGTGGTATCTCATTTGCTAATGATGTTGTATGTATGTATCATAATATTAGACAATAGAAGCTCCATATCTAACCTGAAACATTTTGGCTACACATTTCTTTAGTGGAATCGAGACACATTGTGAGACACCTTTTTCTTCCTTTCTTAAAACAGTATTGTAATGGTGTGCTGTGATAGGTTACCCCCAAATAACAAGATTCTAGCCTTTATGTAAACACTCCAAACGGTGATAATCTTTTCTTAATTGTTAAAATATTAGATATTATGAATTTACTGCAGTGTTTCTCAACCACGTTACTGGAGGAGCACCATGCTCTGCACATTTTCCATGTCTCCTTAACCAAACACAACTGACTCAGATCATTAGTTCATTAGCAGAGACTAAAAGATCTGTAATTGGTGTGACATACAAAGGAGATATCCAAAACCTGCAGTGCTGGTGGTCCTCGGGAACGTGGTTGAGAAACACAGATCTACTGTATGTACACTGTAAAAAATTATAATATCAATTAGTCATGACTGTGTATGTTTTTATGTCATTGTAACTTATTAAACTAGGTTAATCATGTTCTAACTTAATTTTTTAAAGTTACCCAAGCTGTTTAAAGTCAGTTTAACATAATATAAGTTCAATGGACTCATAAGGTTAATTTGATTCAGCTTAAAAATTCAAGGCAGCCAGGACTTCTTTATACAGTGTATCAATGTCTATACGGATTTTTTAAAATACCCCTTGATTTTTGTTTTTAATTAATTCATTTAATTAATTTATTTTTTTATATTGGATTTTATATTTTGGCCAAACATCAAATGTCACAGAAGTCGAAAATGCAAAATAAATAAATAAATACGTTCCACTTTAGGGAAAGTCACCTCACACATAAGAACTGAACTTGTGTGATTTGAAATCAAACATGCTGTATTACACCCTAAATTAAATAGTTAAAATTAAATTAGTTTAATAGCCTTAGCACTTGTAATTTGTTTTAAAGCCTACTTCCGTTTTTAAATACCTCAATTCAGTTTGCCTCAGCGAGTGTCTTCAGACTGCCATCTTCATATCAGCAGGTAAAGTTAATGTGCCTATTTTTCAGGTATCGTTACGTTAAATACTGCTAGGCATAAGAAGTGTACGTAAACATTGCTCACTTTGTATTTCTCAGCCAAGTCGAGAAAACTATGGAAGGACTTTTCAGTCGTAAATAAAAGACAGACACATACACGACAGAGACGACAGGAGAAAGTCGTCATGTCTAACGGCAGACGGGTGAGTACACTCTCAGAAAAAAGGTAAAATGTTGGACCTAAGAAGGAACAAATCCTTGTCACTGGGACAGTACCTTTTTATGGAACAGAATTGTACCTTAGGACAGAGAAACAAATTTGTACCATTGCAGTTTGTACCTTTAAGGATATGATTTGTACCATGGGACACCAAAATGTACCTTTGGTTTTTAAAAACTTGCAGATATATTGTGCCTTCATCAAAGGTACAAATCTGATCCATGAAGGTACCACTACAGTGATGAGACACTTTGTATCTGAACAAGTGCAGACAAATGTCAAATGTGTTCCTTTAGGAACTATTTAAAGGCACTTTGCTATATAAAAAATGTGTCAATTTATTTTCAGTAAATATAAAACATCAAATACACTTTTAAACGATGTTTAAAAAAAGTTTATTTCTGTGTAAATGCACTTTTTCAATTTACAATAAAGAAAAAAATACTTTAACATAAATGAAAAGATATTTTGTTTTGCTAAACTTTTCACAACACTTTTCACAGAAATACGTTCTACTTCAAAATTGAAATATAATTATGCAAAAATATTGTAACAAGATATGCATGATGTTTGATTAGTTTTACAATACTAAAATGTCTGTATGAACACTTTGCATATGCAGGACTTTTGCTAGCTCACATGCGTAGTGGAAAGCAAACGCCAAAAGGTGCTGATATCAATAATAAAAATGTATTTTTCAGAAAATTCTTTTCAAATGTTTATTAAAAATGCCTTAATTGTTTAGTTTACATTACCTAGTTTTGTTTTACCAGTTGTTTTGTATTATAGAACTTAATAATTAATGTTCATGATTTTTTAAAACTAATTCATGTTTTAATATGAAAATTATTTATAAATCACTTTGCCTTTCCAGAAATATTTTTATAGATATTGTAATAAAGAAGGGATTGTTCCACACTTACAGTTGAAGTCAGAATTATTAGCCCAAGATTATTATTTTTTTTCTATTTTAAATATTTCCCAAATGATGTTTAACAGAGCAAGGAAATTTTCAGTGTGTCTGATAATATTTTGATTCTGGAGAAAGTCTTATTTGTTTTATTTCGGCTAGAATAAAAGCAGTTTTTTTTTTTAAACTCATTTTCAGGTCCATTATAACCAACTTTACAAATACCACAACAGATTACTTCAAGTAGTTTACTATAAAACACTATTCTATTTAATTTAAATTACAATAGTATTTTTTAAGTAGAAGACCACTTTAAAAAAATCAAGAATAAAGTAGAACAAAGAGAAGCTAAGAATTTGCATTACGTACATGTTTAGCTTAACAATATATGACATATTTAAAAAAAAAACATAACAGACTCATCAATATTTAGCAGAAAACCTTTAGTTCATTGTGAAAGAATTTAATCTCGATCATGCTTGTTTTGTTTCTTCCCAAATGTGTTTCTGGTCGGGTTGTGCAGATGAAACTCCACTTCAGAAAACTATAGAATATAAATATAAGAAATAAAATAATAATAACAACATGCTAATGTCAATATTTAACTATTTAAAAACAGTAAAAAAAAAAAAGAACATGTCTTACCTCTTGAGCATCTGTGCTAGCAACAGGTTCAACATTCTGGCATTGTTGTCGACTTTTTGTGGGCTTCTGAAGCTTGAACATTACCAAACCTTGAACAACACAATAAATGTAGGTCAAAATACCTAAACAATTCTGAAATTAGTATAATAGACCTACAGTCAAACATGCATCGTGAAACAATACTTAAGTAGTTTTTAAATAAAACTCATCATAAACATTACACTAGATTTAAATAACACTATATACACTCAAAAAAGAACATTTGCTGTTTGTTCAAACTACTTTTTTAAAATGAGCTGAAACAACACAATTCTTCAGTTTAAAGGAGGACAGCTTCATTGTTAATATTTGTAAAAATAAATAGGTTAACTTTATTCCTTCTTGTTGTCCCAACACAAATCAATTGTGTGAAACAGAATTTTTTTAGTGTAGGCATGATATAGCTCAATTTAATCACGACATTAATCATGTTTCTGTAATGCTTTCAACTTGATTGTCTTTTAAAAATCTCACCTATTATTGCAATAATCAGCACAATGTTTATGAGAAAGGATGCAGCAGTCAGAATCTTCTGAATCTCGAGGGATTTATCAACTTGTGCTTGTTGCTTGTTGCACTCGGTTTCTATTTGAAGAGAAGAAATACAAATTACTCTTTTAAAGAAAAAAAATCAATAATTGTGAAATTGTAATTGTTAAAGTCTTAAAAATATTATTTGCTATAACAAACATAATTCTAACAATATGTATATGATATATAACACTGTTGATATGGTTTAAAAAAAAATCTTACCAGTGATGTAGAGTCTGGTGCCGTTGGTGATCTGTATAGATCTATGGTCTCTTTTTATACAGTAATATATTCCTAATTCATCAATAGTTATGCTACTAATAAACAAACGGCTCAAAGTGAGTGATGAATATTTGTCTCTGAGTCTGTCCTCTGGTATAAAAGATGCTGTAGATTCTGATGAGTAAGTTCTCAGTATCAGCACTGGAGAATCTATCAGTTTCTGGAAAACCCAATACATCTCTTTTACACCAATTTGACAGTCTAAAGTCACATTTTCTCCTAATTTCACCCGTTTATCAATTAAACTCTCTACAGTTTGAGTCCACAGCAGCAGATCTGCAAAGAAACACAGATTAAGAATATGATAAAAATAACATTGCACAAATTCACTTTGTAAAACAATCCAGTCATGACAAAATCAATACAATTAAACAAAAACAAATTATAGTAACTTACAGAGTGAAAGCTGCACTTTCCTCATTCTGTGGCTGTTTTAAATTGATATGCAGTGAAATAATTCTGACCAAGTTGAGCGAAATAAAAGAGCAAACCAGCAGAAATGTGAAGACAAAGACATGAGCCTTGATGTTTTTTTCCACAATGCGTGACTTTATACACAGACCTCAGACATTAAGCAGGCCAGAGATGAAGCTGAAGAACCCACAACTGTGAGAAAACACTCAGAGCGGAAAAGAGCAGTGAGACCATAAAAAGACGTTAAACACCCAGACGTTTTATTTATCAAGTGTCCATTTTGGCATACGACAGTATAGGCCCCATTATCGACATTGAATATGTGTAAACCCTTTACAAATACTGTACACTGTAAAAAGCAACTAGTACTTTATTTTAAAAATGTCATTAAACGTAACTCACAACTGTTAAGTTGACTTAATATTTATAGTTATAAACAGTTCATTTACTTAGTTTTTTAAGGAAAAAGATTTTCTTTATTTTTGAAGTAAAGTCAACTAATCTAAATTAATTAAGCTATTTTATTAAAAAACAAATCATTTTAAAAGTAAATGGTTTGCTCTTTTTTTTCAAGTAAAGTCAACTATATGCTTCTCACACTATGTAAACTTGCAGTCTGGATAATAACAGTAAACATACATTTTTTTTGACGTGAACATTTTATATATAATAATAAGATAAAAACAAGACAAGCAACCAATCAGGACATACAGTAGGACTAACGTCAACTTACCTGATGACTGCTGAAAATTGTTTTTCCATCACATGAATTTTTTTTTTTATATGAAATATGTTCAGATAGAGAAAAAAATATTAAATGATAATAATATTTTACAATACTTCAGTTGTGTGGAAGGGGGCGAAAATATTGCCAATTCAAAGTAAAACTTGATACTTATTAAAATATAAAGCTGAGTAATATGTGTTGATGTAGATTTTCTATGCATTCATTAAAAGTAGTGATTAGACGTGCTCATATTTTGCTCATATTTGTATTTGCTCACATTTCATTTGTTTTGCTTGTGAGAGCTCAGGAGAAAATTTTATTGTGAAGTATACACAACAATAGCTGCTAATCAGACACAAAAAATACAATAAATTATTTACAATATATAATATAAAATCAGTTTTTCTATTTAATTTTTTATTAGATAAAAAACAAAAATACATTTTAAGTAATTTCCCTTTTCCAAAAATTTAACAAGGTGCACATTATTACATTACAATCAAAATCAGAAAAGATAAGAAGATGTGTATAGTTCGGACATTATGAATAAACATATAATATATGTGTTAACCTGCAGTTATTTAGTATATAGTGTCTTTCCAAAAAAAGTGATATATATATATATAAACAAACATATCAAACATAGAAGTATTTCTGACATTAAGACAGAAAAAGTGTGTCCTACAGTTGGTTTGTCAAGCCCACTCACTTGCATGGAGTAAACTTACGCATCCTACAGTTATGTGATGCATTGTGAATATGCTTTAATAACAAGATAAGTTTTTATTCTACTTTTGAACTGAGAGAGAGTGTCTGAGGCTCGCACAATTATCAGGAAGGCTATTCCAAAGTTTAGGCCCTATATGAGAACGCTCAACCTTTTTTAGTGGACTTAGTTATTCTGGGTACTACCAGAAGCCCTGAGTTTTCAGATCTTAAAGAGCGAGTTGGATTGTTGTCAGACAGAAAGATGTTACTACAGTATTTAAAGCCTTAAATGTAAGACAATGCATTCTATAATCAATATCCAAAACCTTTACAAACAACATTAAAATATGTATATTAACACCACAATAATATAATATATTATAATATAATATAATATAATATAATATAATATAATATAATATATTATAATATAGCCTAAAAGTAATATAATTACTGTCTGTTCAGTTAACCACATCGTAAAATTTATTTCGAAAACACCAAGCTGTACAACATTTGGACTAGCGGCTGCAGAAAATGCATTACCATCACATGAATAAATTACATTTGAAACATTTTCAAATAGAAAGCATAAAAAACAGTCGAAACTGAAATATTTCTATTGCACTAATATTTTCAAATGTAAATAATTTTTTTGCAAGTAAAAAATATACCAACCGAATTTTTTACTTATAGTTTACACATGTATTGCTTATTGTACATTTACATCATTTTGAGGTGATATAAAAACCAAAAATGAAATGAATAATGAACAAAATACAGTTATTGTATTAATATTTAATAGTTATCAAGACAAAATCAAACAGAAGGCATGCTGAAAACATCATTTTTACATTACCTATGTAAAATTTACAAACATCAGTCAATTTGAAACAAGAGTCAGCAATCAAGCGAACATTATTTTGCTTTCATTATTCAGCAGAACATGATTCTGTAGACTGCAATGATAATGATAATTATATGCGTCTGGTTTTTGTCATTGGATTTTGAAAAGGAGCAAAAGTGTTGTTGTTCGGTTGAAAAAGACGAAACTCCACTTCAGAAAACTACAAAAAAAAAAAACAGAAATGAGCTTCTGATGTCCACATAGAAAGATCTCAACACCTTTAGAGGAGTGAATAAGAGATAATGTTGTACCTCTGCCGCACTTGTGCAGAAAATCTTCTCCAGTTCCTCATTTTGTTGTTGTCTTTTCTTACACAGTTGAAGTTTGATCTGAAATAGGGCTAAAAAAAAAGCACCAACATTTCTCATTTAATATCCTAAACTGCATGATATGTATCATAAAGTGTTGAGTATTATCTGTTATTTTACATTAAGCAGAATCCTGCGATCTCACCTATTACTGCAGAAAACATCATGATGTTCAGTATGATGTATAAAACTATCAGAGCCTCCTGCGTCGTTTGATAATGAGACTCGTTTGGTTTTGTCTGACTCTTATCTTCTGGTAAGACATTTGTGTTTAAGAAATATCAAACATACATTAACATTATGTAGATCTCTAACCGAAATAAAGGCTAAAGTAACAGTTTATTGCAGTATTCATATCTGGCAACAATTCAGGTTTGTCATGATTTTCTCACAAGCTTACCAGTGATGTAGAGTCTGGTGCCGTTGCTGAACTTTATAGTTGTACTGTCTCTTTTTATACAGTAATATACTCCTATTTCATCAATAGTTATGCTACTAATAAACAAACGGCTCAAAGTGAGTGATGAATATTTGTTTCTGAATCTTTCCTCTAATATATGAGATACTGTAGATTCTGTTGAGAAAGTCCGCAGTATCAGCACTGGAGCATCTGTCAGTTTCTGGAAAACCCAAAACATCTCTTTTACATCAATCTGACAGTCTAATGTCACATTTTCACCTAAATTTACCCGTTTATCAAATAAACCTTCTGTAATTTGACACCACAGCAGCAGATCTATCAAAAAAAAACATTTATGTAAAATGATGTACATCATTTACACAACAATAAAATTCCGATCATAAGAAGATTTTTTTAAAAATCCAACACAAAGTTAGACTTACAGAGGAGTAAAAGCAGCGTCGTCTTCATTCTGTGTTTGTGTGACTCACATGCAGTAAGTTGGTTGACTTTATTGTGAATGTAAGAGGAAGTGCAGCTTCAGGAAGAGAACGTCACTATCCTCCCACTGTTGAAACTTCTATTTAAAGAATTTGTTCACTAATGAAAATCACATCATTTACTCTCCCTTGTGTGGCTTTAAACTTTTATCAATTTACTTCTTCTGTTGAACACAAAGATATTTTGAAGCATGCTGGTTGCTACGACCTACCTGTAAATGTAGGAAAAACTAACTCCTAGGGAAGTTATTGGGGGCAGCAGCATTCTTCAAAATATCTTCTTTGTTTTCAACAGAAGATAGAAAATCAAACAGGGTTTAGAACAAGTGAAGGAAGAATAAATGAAGACAGAATTACATTTTTTGGATGAATTATCACTTTAAAGGTAGATTATGCAATTTTCACCACTAGAGGGCATGTATTCACAACAAACAGTCATAGTCTGATGGCAGTGTGACAGTATGGATAATATGCATACAATTTAAAACACCTTTGATTTGATTTAGCATTACTTGTTACTTATACTTTACCAGTGATGTAAAGTCAGGTGCCATTGCTGATCTGTAAAGATGCACTGTCTCTTTTTACACAGTAATACTAATAAAACTAATAAAACAGACAACTGTGGCGAGTGATGAATATTTGTTTCTGAATATTTCCTCTGGTATAAGAGATACTATACATTCTCATGAGAAAGTCTGCACCGTTTCAGCCCTGGAGAATATGTCAGTTTCTGGAAAACCCAATACATCTCTTTTACACCAATCTGACAGTCTGAAGTCACACTTTCTCCTAATTTCACCTATTATATAATATATAGTGTCTTTCCAAAAAAAAAAAAAAGGGTGATGTCTATGTGTTCATGTTCAATAAAGTGTATTAGTTTATTTTAAAAATAAGGTGCTATACAAGCAAATATTAAAAAAAAAAAAAAAAACTTTAAATAAAAGTATTTCTAATAAAGTGCTTGCATGGTGCATTAATAGACTGCAATTGAAATAGTTCAGTTTCTAATGTTTTTTATGTTTTCTATTCAAAAATGTTTCAAATGTAATTCATTCATGTGATGATAATGCATTTTCTGCTGCCATTAATGTTGTACAGCTTGTTGTTTTAGAAAGAATTTTCGGTGTGTTTAACCGAAACACACGATATTACTGTAAACATGTTGGACAATCCCTTTCAATGGTGTTTTTTATTTTCGAAATCGCGATTGTTTTTCTCTGTTTTTTATGTTTTATCTGACCTTGCAAAATATGTGAACAGGACAGCATCAGTCATGTTAAACTCGCCAACTCTGTCTCATCAGTGTAGTCATCCTCCTAGCCTTTCTCATAAACTACCCCAAGTAAGGTGCGTGATAGCCTTGGTTGAAAAATCCGCGGACTGCAATACTCAGACGCACAATGATGAAAATAGATGGACTGCATCAAAAAGGTGCTGAGAACAAAAATTGCACAATGACAAGAAATAATAAAGATCTCGCCACAAAACACATGAAAATGAAATTAAAGAGCCCGATTTAAAAATGTAAGGTGTAAAAATACAAATATTTGTGAAAAATGTAAGAAGTAAAAGTACAAAGTTGTCAGAAAAATAGTGGAGTAAAGTACTGATACCAGAAAAAAATACTTGAGTACAGTAACAAAGTATTTGTACTTTGTTACTTCCCAAAATAGGCTCCCCCAATCAGGGCCGGAGTGGGACTCCTTTTCAGCCCTGGAGTTTCTAGCCTCAGACCGGCCCACCTCAGTTCACGACTGACTATATTAAAATAAGGACATTTCCAATTCAGTTTCTAATGACACTATCACGTCTTATTTTGAGAAAACAGCTGCTTTAGAACGTCAAATGTTCCACAACCCAAACAGTGTTATGTCTTAACAATAATAAATAAATAAATAAATAAATATAAAAAAAAGAAAACTACTCAGACGAGGATCAAACCCGGGTCCGCAGCGTCATAACCTAACATGCAAACCACGGGACCACAACAGCTGTGAATTAAGAATTGGCTCGTCTGAGTTATATCATCATTAACCTGCAGGCTGATGATGACATAAAAAAAAGATAAATATAAAAAGAGCAGAGCTGCAGTAAAATAATGAATAAGAAGACTGTGGTCAAGTAAATAAATTAATTAATTTAAAAAGTGTGACTGCTGAGAGCAACAGATTCTGGAGCTAGGGACACCGGCCCTCGCGGCCAAAAAACGGACCGGCCCACCGGGAATTCTCCCGGTCCTCCCGATTAGCCAATCCGGGCCTGCCCCCAGTGGCCACAGTATTCGCTTTTTGATGCTGCGGTCACATTAGAGTTTGAGCATGTGATATTCTGTTGTGCGGCGCTCCGAAAAGGGGCGGGATTAAACAAGCTTATTAGACATTTAAAAAAGTGAGCAATTGCTTCATGTTTTAAATTTCTGTTCAGAGATGACATGTTTTGATCCTCGATTGGTCTCACGTAGTCAAGTGATGCGATTTCGCAGGTCAGAGTTCACCAAGCTTGAACTTGCACTGAAGAAACCTGCAAAACTTGACGCATGACCCTGCGTTTCCAATCTAACGCATTCACATGCGTATGAATAGAAGTCTATGGGATGAAAAGACAAGTGTGACCGCAGCTTAAGTGTGACGTCATGCGAAGCAGCTTCCGGGTCAAAGCTGTATGGGGAGACTCATCAAATGATAATAAGAAACAATAACAAATTGACTTAATACTTTCAAAAATCACATTTACAATTCTGATGGCCAGAAAGGTATTCATTTTTTTAGAAATTGTAAAAGTTTTGGTATTTGTGATGCAGCAAGTCCAGAGACTGTTTCACACACCATGGTTTTATAGAGAATTCACTTTATTGTGTGATATGACAAAAAAATGGCCTTAGACTAATATTTTCTCGATTCGAATGAGTAGCAGCTTGGACCTGGAAACAGTATTACATACGTCACAACTTAACAAGCAGATAGTTCGAACACTGATCAATACACTGTTTCATCACTAACAGACCTGTCACGGTCGGGTTTTGAACCTGGGTCTCTGGTGTGGAGACTGGTGTCTGTACACTCCAAGAGGGAATCCAGAAAACAAGGATTTATAAAAAAAAAAAAGAAAAAAAAGGTCAACTTACATTCTTCTCAGAAATGAGGCAGCAAAACAGACAACTTAGGATCTTCTCAGAATGAGGTTTACAAAATATTTTAACAGTATAATAAACATGTAAAGAAAACTCCACGAGGGGAGAAAACAAACAGACAATAAGGCAGCCAGCGACAAGGAAAATAAAACTTTATCTTTTATAAAACTAAGTCTTACTAGACGAAGCTCAGGAGATCAAGGGACCGCAAAGCAAGTTCACCAGGGATGATTCAAAAACCAAGTGAGGAACACAGATAAAGTGACTGTCACAGTTGTGGATCTATCTGCTCTTCTATGATGTGTCTGCGTGGTGTGATTTGTTTATTTGGGTTTGCGGTGTGTGTGTGTGCGCTTGTCTCTGTGTTTGTGTGAGAGTCGCGTGGCTGTCAGTGTTGTTGTTGTTTTCATGTCATCGGCTGGGCGGTCACATGATCATGGTCATCGGTCGCCTAGCACCGCTCAGCTGATTATTGCGCTCCAGGTGTAGCGCATTACTGTGGCTATAAATGTTCAGCGTTCCTGTCTCACCTTGTCAGTTCGTTGTCCTCACTTGTCTCTGTGTCTTTGTCAGGCTCTCCTCGTTGAGTTCGCTGGTTGTTCGCTGGTTGAAGTTTTCTCCGATGAACTTTAGATTCACTCTGTTGACGGAGATTGAAGTTCTCCCCGATGAACTGTTGATTCGCTCTGTTGACGGAGATTGAAGATCTCCCCGATGAACTTTGTTCGCCCTGCAGACGGAGAACTATTTGTTCCTTCATCTTCCACTTGTGATCACCTGACTTCCAGCCAGCCAGCTTCTCTTTGTTCTGTGTTCCCTTCTAAGTTTAATAAATTGTCGCTTGCATTTGGGTCTCCACGTCTTCTTTGAACTTTGTGACAGTGACAACTTGAATACACAGACTGGAATAAGTCGCAGGTGATCAAAATTAAGTAAACAAGAACACATGAGGAAGAACAAAGGCAGAGGGGAAACACAAGGATCTCTAGGGGAATGGAGACAAAGTGCAGGATGGTGACAAGACCGCTCCCTAAGTATTAGATAGCTATCCCAGGGGATGTGCACAACGTTAAAATCCAATAATCTAATCAGCATTTATCAACCTACAAAACAAGAACAAAATGGCATCTCTTCCAGTGCCCTCAGTGCCTGAGTTTAAGTAAACTATATTAGTGAACTAATGTAGGTAATTGTGACTTAGGATTTAGGGATTAGGGTTGATTTCATATGCAGCCAGTGTCTTAAGTAAAATGCGCAACAGCTGGGGTTGAGTAACCAGTGCAGTAGATTATGGGAAGTGTGATCCAGGTAAATTGTAATGGAAGATAATGAATAGAGTGGCCTCTAGTGGATCTCATAGGCAGAAAAGGTAACCAACAACTATCATAACATTTTGATAAATCACAAAAGCACAATTAATGATGAAACATGGCATTAAAAATGAATTAGATCTGATATTAATTAGCAACTCAGACAGAGACATACAAAATCCAAAACATTACAAAGTTGAATGCAAGCAAATGTTTATTATAAATCTTGATGAACACTTCAAGTGCCGAGCAGACAGATATTAGTCATTTTTATTACAAATACACTGTGTTTTAGTCTAGATTTCAAGTCTAGAGACTCATTTTTTCTTTAAACATTCAAGCAACACATAATTCTGATCATTTAAAGCAACCATAATCAATCTCTCAACTTGTCGCCAACTCATATATCTCCTTTTGAGGAGGAACATCACAGCCGTTGGTCTGGATGAGTGTTATTTTCTCAAAACATCATGTCGGACTTCTAAATAAATAATAAAAACATGGTTTAGCTGCTAATTCACATTCATGAAGACTGTTTTGTACTGCAGTGAATCAAAACTTACCAAGGATTTACAGAAGATAGTCCTCTTCAGTCTTTAATTAGAAAAGCACAGGTAAAGTAACTTATTTCACATAATTTTTATATTTATAATTTGTTTATTACTGTTAAATACTTACTAGAGGTGTGCAGTCTGATACCATCACTGATGTTCAAAGCAAAACCTGGTTTAATACAGTAATATTCGCCCAAATCATCAGCACTGACATTATTGATTATTAAGTGGCTTCTGCTTCCCTCTGAATATTTGCTGCGCAGTTTTCCATCATAATAATCAGCCTCTTGGGTTCCAAAAGTCCTCATGATCATCATCGGACGAGCTGACGGTTTTATCACAAACCAAACTACAGCTTTTAATCTAAACTCACAGGCTAAAGTCACAGTCTCTCCTAAAGTCACCTGTTGATCAGTCAAAGCTTCAGTGTGTTGATTCCACACCAGAAAACCTGCACATACACATGACATCACATCATTCATATGATCAAATCACGGCTGAATCACATTCAATAACACTGATAATGATCAGAAATCCACTTACAGAGAAGGGAAAGCAGCAGCGTCTTCATTCTGAGCTCTCGCTGAAGGTCTCTGAGGTCGATCTTGTGCTCAGGTTGAGGTTTATAGCATCTATTAGAGGAAGTGCTTCTGCTGAGCTTTTAGAAAATACTAACTTTGGAAAAATGATTCATTGAAGTGCTGCAAGTTTACGGTCAGTGAGGATTTACTTTGGAAAAGTTACACTAGAAATATGCATCTTCACTTAAAAAATACTGCCGAATAGTTATTTTAGTTTTTAAAGAATCTAATATTAGACAAGGTTTAATAATTAGACTTTTTGTATAGACATTTATAGGGTAAAGTTGTGGTCTTTTCCAAATTAATTATAAAATATTATCAAATAAAGTTAAAATAATATTTTAACATTATGCAAAGTACATTGTAAAAAATATCCGTAATTTTATGGTTTATTTCCATCAGGTGCCGGAAACTCCCCGTAAAATGACGTGCGTTAAATTACAGAAATATACCATAAAATAACAGATATAAAAATTACAGAAATTTCCTTAAATTTAAATTTCTGGTAAATTTCTGTAATTTAATATCCATTATTTTACGGTATATTTCAGTAATTTAACAGACGTTATTTAATAACCCCAGCTGCCGGAAATAAATCGTAAATGTACGGATCTTTTTTACAGTGTAATAATCACAATAAGAAATGTATTGTTCAATTAATTCCGTAAATATGTAATTAGAGTTTTTCAAATGAATGAATGCATTTGTGTTTATTGTTTGATACTTGAAGAACAATAAAGATTAATGTTTTAAAATATTTGAAATGTGTGTTTTTTAAGGATTTAACAAACTAGAAAAATAATGCGATTGTGTTAGCTTTACTTAAAAGCACACATTTCATTAAATAATAGTTACTTTAAACAATACACTGGGCAGATTATTAAAATAAATAAGTACATTTTACTTAAAAAAAACAGGTTTGACAAACTTAAAACTAAGTTAAAAACTGATCAAATTGCATTAATGTTACTTGATAATGTAAGTTGAGAACATGCAAAGTCTAATAGGGCAAACTAAAATAAAATGAGTTTGAAATACTCAAAAGGCTGACGCAAATAGTCGCCTCAAGTTTTTTAAAAGTAAAACATACACCGTATTTTTACAGTGTAATAACAAAAAACAAAATTTTCTAAAATAAGCCTTTTTGTTTGAAAAAAAGGTGTGTATAAGTTTGTACCACATCTTCAAGATAAATATAAGCAATCCATCCCAGCCTACAGATATTACACAAATTAAGCTTATTTTCTTCAGTAAAAGTCTGTCAGAATGATAATTTGTGAATTTTATAAAATGCAAACGGGCAAGGATGGTAACAAATTTTATGACAACAATAAAGACCAATAAATTAATGCCAATAGCAGATGTTAGACCGCAGCCATAAGAATATATTTGGATCTCTTTTACATAGTTGTTACTATTCGTATGGTGCGCATTACTTCAACTACAAATTCTTATACTATGGTTAGTGTAACAGAACCATGGTTAATTTGTTTTTACCATGGTGTAACTATAGCCACAGTTCTTCAAATTTGCTACAAATAAAGCCAAAGAAATGATGGTTATTTCTGAAAAAGTACTATATTCACAAGGGCTGCTTGATGAGATAAAACCCTTTTTTTTTAAATAAATGTATATCTGAAAAACACTTGCTTATACTCTCAGAATGAATAATGATAAATATGAACATTTTCCCTGCTATTGATGAGCATATTTGTTTTGTTATAAAACATTTTACAAGCGTCTGACTTTTTTCAATTCTAGAAATTGCTTAATCAGGGCTTGGCTCTATATTAACCTGCGATGGTTTAGACATAATTGCAAAATAATTTCCCTTGTAAAAAAGTTGTATTGTTCAGATCTGCATTCAAGTCTAACAAAGGCTCATTGTGGATATGTTACCCTGTCTGCATTTCAGCAAAGTGCAAATTATGTACCCAGAGGTATGTCTGACTTCACTGAGGTTTTAAAATGAACACTATGGGGCGGTTTGATGCCGCCGACAGCTTCTGTTTCTTTTTGGGCTGCCACTGATTGCTTACCTGCAAGTGGGCAGATTTTCCGCTGTTACCAGTTTGCCCAGTAGCTTACCGTGTACGTTGGCGGAGTTGACTGCAATGACAGGGTTCGTCTAAGTAAAACTCAAACCAAAATAATTAAATAAATAAACAACAGGATGTAAATGTGGTGAAATCACACATCTGCGATTGCTTTTCTTATTATCTTTTTTTAAAAACACTATCGGTTGGGTTTAGGGAAGGGTTGTTCCATCAGTTAGTTGACACGCCTGGCCAAGTGTATATTGCGCCCTCTGGTGGATTTACGTGAGAAGAGGACATGCGAGTAAAATTTGGGATCATCAAAAAGTGTACATAGTGGCCTCTGGCAGATTTGCAAAAACAAAAACTGCAGCAGACATTCCTCTGGTTACATATTGTTGATGTCCCAAAAATGTAGACCTGGGTATGTATCCGCATTGAGCTTGGATTCGATAAAATACGGAATTAATGAAATTGGAATTAAATGTTTTTGTTGTTGTTGTCGTTTAAAAGTAGAGGCTTTGTTCTTTATTTTCCTATATAGCTATAAAAACATGTATTCTTCGCATTAATATTCAGAAGACCATTAAATTTAGGTGAAAATCATTAAAAAATGCTGGTGGTGGTTGGCAAAGTTTTTTTTTTAATCCTGATGGGGAAAGAGTTGGGGATAAAATTAGGTTAGCAAACAGTGAAGCCCTCCTTTAAACATAAAGTAACTTAAGGATCCTTTTTGACATCTACCTTGCTGGTCTTGAAGATACACTCGATGATGTTTTTGCTTCATTAATCACTAAGTGTGTTTTCTGTGATTGTTTTGGTTTTTTTCTGGTGATTTTATATAAAAGGCTGTTTTTATTTTATTCTAATTTAAACATAGCATGCTGTATTTCTACTGTGTTTCCCGGCGATATAAGTCATGATAGAATGAGGCAACATAATTCCATTACCAACTAGTGTGCATCATCCACTTACTCTAAGGAATTGAGCAACAATTGAGTAAATACCATTTTCACTTCTTTATTTTTGTGTGTCTAGACCGTGTGTTTCTCAACCATGTTCCTGGAAGACCACTGGCTCTGCACATTTTCTGTGTCTTCTTAACCAAACACACCTGATTCAGGTCATCCTCTCATTAGCAGAGACTGAAAGACCTGTCATAGGTGTGACGGACAAAGGAGACATCCAAAACATGCAGTGCTGGTGGTCCCCCAGGAACATGGTTGAGAAACACTGGGACCATGTTTCCTCAAACTGCAAAACTAATTTTGTTTTTTATATTTTTTGTTATACTGAGGAGGTTGATTCCACTTTGGTAACCCCTGATAAATCAAAGCCTGAGCCAAAGGAAAACGAATGAATAAATGATATAATGAACATATCAGCATGCTTGTTAAAACTGGTCGTGGTCACTGGTAAAATTAAAAATTCTGCTCTTTTTGTTTTATATGGATAGCAGTAATTCATCCTTATTTCACATAAGCAAACACAGTGGTGTGTATGTTCAAAACTGAAAACATGCATTTAGTATTTTGCATTTTCACTGTTAATGTCTACAAAAATTACATTTTAGGTCGATCAAAACATCCAATTATAGAGTGATTATCTAAAGTGGAGATCAAAACTGGGGAATAATAAATCAATGTTTACCATGTTTTTGTTACAAATTCCTCGTTCAAGTTTTTATACTGGGCTCCAGAGTTTATGGAATTTGTTAAATAAGGTTTAAATCTGCCCTTTTTCTCCTGTTTTGATCATTACATGTTTCCCCCTTTATCATATAAATAGAAAAAAATTATGAAAGGAACAAGTTGTGGCTTAATGGCCAGAACCAAAATTTTGCACATAATGTTAAAAATTTCCTTCAGAATCTACAGTAACTTACTGTAAATTAATTACAGCAAAAAAACGTATTTACATTTGCTGCACTATTTATCTTGCTGTATATGTATTTACAGACTTGCATGTGTATCTTTGCCCTAAAATATACAGTACATTTCACAATGCGACTTTAGAATACAGTAACATACAGCAAAACTGTCCTACAATAAAATATAATTCATATCACAGTTAAATACTGTGTAATTTACAAAAATTGTTAACGGTGCAAAATATATAGCACTGTTCTAGTGTGTTTTAATATATTATTATTATAAATCAGACACATTTTACCTTTAAGTTCTAATATAAAAATCTGTTAAATTTGCAGTGGAAAAAAGGCAGCTGTTAATAAGGTAAAAAAAAGGTAAATAAGGCATAAATACAGTAAAATAAGGTAAAAACAGTAAAATAGTTTTCTAGATTTTACAGTAAACTACTGTATTTTATTTGAGAGAGAAAAAACTGCATGCTTTAATTTTTTAAGCTGAATCAAATTAATCTTATGAGTCCATTGAACTATTGTTAAACTAAATAAAACTAAACAAAAAATTAAATTAATTAAATTAATTCCAGCAAAAACACCGTATTTACATTTACAGCACCATTCATCTTGCTATATATGTATTTACAGTATTGTATGTGTATAATTACTGTAAAATAGACAGTACATTTCACAATGCGACTTCAAAATACAGTAACATACTGCATAACTGTCCTACAGAAAAAAACAGTTCTTATTACAGTTGAATACTGTGTAATTTATAGACTTTTTAACTGGGCAAATAACATATAACACTGTTCTAGTGTTTATATATATATATATATATATATATATATATATATATATATATATATATATATATATATATATATATATATATATATATAATTATTATAAATTTTACATATTTTACCTTTAAGTTCAAATATAAAAGTCTGTAAAGCGGCAGCTGTGGTAGCCAGAATTTTACAGTTAAAAATAAAGCAAAAACAGTAAAATATTTTTTTTAATTGTACAGTAAACTGGCATATTTTATTAATTAGAGAAAAAATAGGACATAGTAATGCCAACAAAAAGACATTAAAAGTGTCATGTAGAAGTCTGGAAAAGCCAATTTACGGTTATTTACCGTATATATTGAGAAAACAGGTAACGGATTTTAACTGTAGCATATTATTGTTACGATAACCAGCGATCGTTCTCCATAGATCGCTGGTTCCCACACAATAACCATGGACTACACTTCCGCCTTTTCATGGACTACATATTCAGACATGCACTTCGCCCAGACACCCATGCTCACTCATCTAGACTGATTACACTCGTAACACCTGAGGACTATCAGAGACTGATTACATTCACTACATAAGCCACTCATTCACTCTTTCAGTTTGCAGAGTCTTGTTTATCGTAGATGACATTACAACGCGTTTTCCCTGTCTTGTTTCCCGTATTTCGACCCAGCCTTGTTTATCCTTGTTCTCCTGATTAGCCGCCTGCCTCAAGACCTATAGCCTGTTTATACGACTATGATTCTGGACTGCCTGTATATACCCATTTGTACCTGTTTTGACCATTGCTTGCCTGACCACGAATAAACCTGCATTTGGATCTTACCTCCAGTTGTGTGTGTCATCCTCCCCCGTTCGTTACAATTATATTCAGTTACCATTGAAATTAGTCATTTGTTTTTACAGTAGTGAATTTAGTGCAAGTAACTCCAAAGTAATACAAGAGTAATGCAACACATTACAAATCTAAAACAGTAATAATGTAAAACAACAGATTACTTTTAAATAACGGTAACAAGCAGTGTTTCTCAACTCTGTTCCTGAAGGCATACCAACACTACATACATTAGATGTCTCCCTTGTCTGACCCATTAAGTTCAGGTTTTGGAGTCTCTTCTAATGTTCTGATGAGATGATTCAGGTGGGTTTGATTAGGGAGAGGTTGAAAATGTGTGCTGCTGGTGTGCCTTCAGGAACAGGGTTGGGAAACACTTCTCTAATGCATTGGAAGTAACTTTGCACAACACTGAGTATGGATTACACAACTGTTATATGAAGTAAACGAAGCACTGAAATGCTTCCTTTCCAGACGTTCAGTGGAAAACAGTGAAATCGCTTGTCATGAACTAAATACATCATCCGTTATTTTTAGCATCAGTAACCGAAATCCACTGAATCTGCAGGATATGAAGGTAGGATGCATATTTTGGGTGTAACTTTTTAAAGTGAGTATTCACTGACCGTAAACATGATGTTGCATCATTTTAGTGAATCATTTTGCTTAATTTAGTCATTTCTAAAGCTCAGCAGAAGCACTTCCTCTAAAAGATGCTATAAACCTCAACCTGAGCACAAGATCGACCTCAGAGACCTTCAGCGAGAGCTCAGAATGAAGACGCTGCTGCTTTCCCTTCTCTGTAAGTGGATTTCTGCTCATTATCAGTGTGATTCAGTCTTGATCGGATGATCTGAATGGTGTGTTTCTTGTGTTTGTGCAGGTTTTCTGGTGTGGAATCAACACACTGAAGCTTTGACTGATCAACAGGTGACTTTAGGAGAGACTGTGACTTTAGCTTGTGAGTTTAAATGTAAAGCTGCTATATGGTTTGTGATAAAACCGTCAGCTCGTCCGATGATGATCATGAGGACTTTTGGAACCCAAGAGGCTGATTACTACGATGAAAAACTGCGCAGCAAATATTCAGAGGGAAGCAGAAGCCACTTAATAATCAATAATGTCAGTGCTGATGATCTGGGCGATTATTACTGTATTAAAGCAGGCTTCGCTCTAAACATCGGTGATGGCATCAGACTACACACCTCTGGTAAATTGATTATTATGTCAATATATTTATCTATTTTTGATGTCAACATTTGTTTTATAAAATCATAACTGTGTGTGTTTCTTATTATTTTCAGAAGTCTGAGGTGAAGTTCAACTGGTGTGACAGAAGAATTGAGTGAACCAGACTTTTCTTCTCCTCTTCAGAACGAAAAATATAAATTGGTGACATGCTGAGAGATTGATTATGTTTTCTGCAGATGATTAGACTTGTGTGTGTGATCTGCTTAAACATTATATGAAATAATGATTAAATAAATCATTACTTTTGAAATAAATCATTGCAATACTCATGTCTTTTTTGCATATCTAGTTTTTTATGGATCCTTGCTGAAGAATTTCAGTCATTTAAGAAGAAAATCATACTGATCAGTTCTTCTGAATTATATTTACAGCTATATAATTGACATCTGGAAAGATTCATGACAAAACAAACACACAACAACAAAAAAACAAACAGGGGAAAACTAAAAGTGAAAATAATAAGCAAAACAATAAACTATAATAACTAAATAACATTTAAAGGATGTTATCCATTCATTCATTTTCTGCTGCTTTTCCGGGGACGGGTCGTGGGGGCAGCAGTCTTAGAAGAGAACCCCAGACTTCACTCTCCCCACACACTTCCTCTAGCTTCTCCGGGGGGATCCCGAGGCGTTCCCAGGCCAGCCGAGAGACAAAGTCCCTCCACTTCTTCACCGAAGCCTCCTCCCGGTGGGACATGCTTGGAACACCTCCCTAGGTAGGCGTCCAGGAGACATCCGAAACAGATGCCCGAGCCACCTCAGCTGTCTTCTCTCGATGTGAAGGAGCAGTAGCTGGACTCCGAGCTCCTCCCGTGTGTCAGTGCTCCTCCCCCTATCCACAAGAGTGCGCCTGCCACCCTTCAAAGGAAACTCATTTCGGCCGCTTGTATGCGAGATCTTGTCCTTTCGGTCATGACCCAAAGCTCATTGCATTTTATCATATATTTGCTATTTAATTCCTTCGATACATTTGTTTACTCTGAACATTTTAAAATGTATATAGTAGTCCATGTTGTAAATGATGTATCTGTGCACTTGATTATTTAGTTAAAAATTCATTTGCCTACATAATCTTTAATCAAATACCTCGGGGAAGAGGACAAAGTGCATGAGGGGCCCGCATGACACCCAATCCAACCACAACAGCTATCAGTCCATTAGGGTGGGACCATCGGTCATTTTGGTTTATATTTTGGACGGGGCCATCAGACCTTTAGGTGGGACCAGCAATCTGTTATGAAAGTGACATCAGTCCTTTAAGGCAGGACAATCAGACCTATAGGTTGGGACCATCAGACCATTAAATGACCATCAGTCATTTAAGATGTGGCCATCAGACCATTTGGGCGAGACCAGCAATCCATTAGGGTGGTGACATCAGTCTTTTGGGGCAGGTCCAGGGGCGTCGCTAGTGGGGAGCAAAGGGGACAGAGTGCATGGGGCCCTGAAAATTTAGGGGCCTTGCAATGGCAAGCAGAAGAGCCCGTATGACACCACATCCAACCACAACTGAACTGCTATAACTCTATTAGGGCAGGACCATCAGTCATTTAGGGCCGGGCCATCAGACCTTTAGGGCGGGACCATTAGTCACATAGGACGGGCCATCAGACCTTTAGGGTGGGAACATCAGTTAATTAAGGTGGGGCTATCAGTCCATTAGGGCAGTACCATCTGTCATTTAGGGTGGGGCAATCAGACCTTTAGGGCGGGGCTATCAGTTTATTAGGGCGGGACCATCAGACTTTTAGGATGGGGCTGTTAGTCTAAGTACAGTATGCCAGTCACCAGTCTGACGCATTCGCATTTGTATGAATGGAAGTCTATGGGGATAAAAGTGCAGTGTGACCGCAGTTTTAGGGTGAGACAATCAGGCCTTTAGGGTGGGGTTATCAGTCCATTAGGGTGGGACCAACAGACCATTAGGGCAGGGACATCAGAGCTTTAGGGCGGAGCTATCAGTTTATTATGGCAGGACCATTTGACCATTAGAGTGAGAACAACAGTCATTTAGGGCGGGGCCATCAGACTTTTAGGGTGGGGCTATTAGTTAATTAGGGTGAGGCCATCAGACCCTTAGGGCAGGACTATCTGTCTATTAGGGCTGGACCATCAGACCATTAGGGCGGGACCAACAGACCATTAGGGTGGTGACTTCAGTTCTTTAGGCCAAGATCATCAGTCATTTAGGGCAGGGTCGTCAGACATATAAGGCGGGGCTATCAGTCCATTAGGGCGGAAAGATCAGACAATTAGGGTGGGACCATCAGTCATTTAGTTTTGAACTGTCAGTCAATTAGGCCAGGTCATCAGTCATTTCGGACGGGGCCATCAGACCTTTAAGGCGGGGCCATTAGTCCCTTATGGTGGGGGCCATCAGACATTTAGGACGAGATCAAAGGTCATTTAGGGCAGGGCCATCAGACATTTAGGGCGGGACCATCAGTCATTTAGGGCAGAGTTATCAGCGCATGTGTGTTTATTCAGCTCCGCCCAGCCCTTTAATGCAATCAATGATGTAAATACGAGTAAACAAGATGGTGGGAAGTTAGCAAGGTCATAAATAATTGGACTGGAGTGCAGCCTATGTCTGTAAAATTTATTTTCCCGTTCTTGTCATCATCGGGCATCTGAAAACATTCCGTCTTTGTGGACAGTATATTCCTCCTCCACAACTGAGTGCAAACTGACATTCAAATCTTCCTCCATTTTGTTAGCAATGGCCATCTTACAACATCACAATCAGTTCCCAAACAACAAAATCCTACACTGTCCTATATTTTTTTTCATTGCTATCGGTTGTCATGATAAAGTATAACTTAACTTCCATTTCACACTGATTTAAAAGTAACCAGCTTTAGGTCAGAATCATGATAATACTGTATGTTGTGGTCATATAATCTCTTCCAGTGGTCACTAGACTGTCAATGGTAAAAACACCATTCTTTGTCACAGTTAAAATTCATAGGTCAAAGCTTCAGCAACAAAAAAATCGAATACCATCAGAAGCCTATTTGAAGCAAACATCAGGCGATCTGTCCGCATGTAGGCGTTTCATATATATTATTTGGTAGTATTTGAAGATAGTTGCGTTCTGCCATTGGGTTTCGAGGAGGATCGCAGTTGCTGTTGATCTGAATGGACAAGTTTCTTCTGAGATGCTCAGGAACCATATAAGGTCTCTAAAGAATAATTAATGACAAATTACAAAGCTGGCTCTTTATGTATGACATTAATTATTATTTAAATGTTGCTCAGATTCAACATTTACAAAGGCTGTAAAAAATACAGATTCTTTATTGAAATAGAGAAAAAGATTTCTTACCCGATGGTTATTCTCATACATATGACTTGTCCTAGAAAATTTATGCTTCTTCATTAATAAACCTAAAATAAAAATAATCTCTATGAGGGAATGATGCACACAAAGAAAGCATCAATACTCAATATTCAATTCAATAGCGCTTTTCAGCATAATTATTGTTTCAAAGCAGCTTTACAGAGGTCATTAAATTACAGTCAAAATTAGACATGTTGAGGAGTTGTGTAAAAGGTTGCCACTACACTCTAAAATAAATCTTTTTCTACCCAAATGTTGGGTTGAGGCATTTGGGTAATTTTTGGGGGTTAAGTTTTGAGTCTTTTTGGGTAGTGCTATGTAACCCAAACCTGGGTTATTTGCTGGGTAATGATTGCTAAGAGTGTAAACAATGCAACCCTAGCACCACACAGACACATGAACCCATCTGTGTGTGTGTGTGTGTGTGTTTAAATGCAGTGTTTTCAATGCATTTAAATAAATTAGTTATGGCAAAGAGCTTAGAATGACCAAGAGGTGACATTCTAGTGCAAATTAGGAAACAGCCACTAGGCGGCCATTTTGGAATGAAAACTCCAACGAAACAACAGCATAATATAAGTCTGTAAAATAAACTATTAAAAGTGCTGATGATTGTAATAGTAAGTGTTGTATTTTCGTCTTTCAGCTTTAATAAGCTTTATAAATAAATAAATAAAAAACAAAGCAGCTGCTTGACATCGCGACAGCAATAGGAGCCAATGGACGGCCCATCACTTTCACTCCAAAATGGTGGAGTCCGGGGCAGTTGCAGGGCGCTGCTGTTGCAATGGAACGCTCTATTGAGTGTCTCTCTTGGTCATTCTAAGCTCTTAAGTTATGTTGTTTATCATTTGGTAATGATTTTAAAAGAAAACAAAAAATGACATCTAAAAATATATCCTACTTATTAAATCAAATTAACCTATTATTAAAGTAAAAAATTAAAAATTATTGGGTAGAAAAATACAACCCATTTGTGGGGTTAAAATTAATAACCCATTTACTTGAGGTAATTTTACCCAATTTGGGTAGTTTTACGCCTGTGTTTTTAGAGTTTATATAGACATAATTAACCTGCAGTTAGCTACTATATATGGTATAACAGAATAATGACTTTCCAAAACAGATCATATTCACATGCACTAGTAATACATGTTCAGTGTTTGTGTATTAAGTGTTTGTTGTCCTCAAAGATCTTGAATATACTCCATTCAATGTAGCAGTTCATCAACATACTGAAATAAGCCTTACGTCTCAGCAAATTACTGTTCATACAGACTTTAATACCTTGTTTATGTAATGACTTATAATAATAATAATTTTTTACATTTATGTAGCGCTTTTCAGGACATTCAAAGCACTTTACACATTGAGGGGAATCTCCTCATCCACAACTTGTGTACAGCATCCACCTGGATGTCATGAAGGCAGCCATTTTGCGCCAGACCGCACACACCAGCTGATTGGTGGAGAGAAGACAGAATGATGAAGCCAGTTATAATATAGAGATGGTTGGGAGTCCAGAATGCTGGGGTTAAATTCTGGCAACCTACTCTTTTTCAAGGGACATTGTGGGAATTTTAATGACCACAGAGTCAGGACCTTTCATTATACTGGGGCATTATAGGACCCACACAGATCACAGGTTGAAAGCCCCCTGCTGACCACTTCCGGCTGTAACCTAGCTTTCCCAAGTGGTCTCCCATCCTGTACTGACCGGCCACAGCCCTGCTTAGCTTCAGTGGGCGACCATGTGAGAGTTGCAGAGAACTAGCTGCCGAGATATTTTACATGTAACATATTATGAATACATTTTAAAACTTCAGTGTGTCATTTTTTCCACTCACCAATTATTGCAACAAACATCACAGCAACTAAACAGGCAAGAATGACCAATACAATCTGATTACTGGATAGATCTTGTGGCTCATTGTCATCTTTGGGGACTCCTGTGTTTTAAATACAAAAACAACATGCAGTTTTGTGTCACATTAAATGAAAAAATAGTATTTGTATATATAGATGAAAACATATAACGTGAAAGTCCCCTTAAATGCTTTGAAATGTGCATTTTTATGAAGAGAGGGTGAGACATGGAGACATGTGTAGCTCCTCCCCTTTTTAAAAACAGCCGATAGCGTTTTGTTTTATCACCGCTCTGCCAGTGAGAGTTAAGATCAAGCGCATCAAATGAAAAGCAAATGAGAAGTGGGCGTGGCATGTCAGATAGCGTTTGATTGGCTATGATCTGATGAGAAACTGAAGTATGAGGTGATGTGAAAAAAACTGATTCATTTAGACGGAAGTGACAAACCTTAACCAGTTAAACTCTGCTGTTATTTTGGGTTTTCCGCCTGGATTTTGCCTACCTAAATTTAAAAGCTTCCCAAATCCGCACGGAGTGGTGTAAATGCAAAAATTTGGTTTTATTTGAAAGAAAACCCTTTGAATTTTCATAAAACACTATTGAAAGTGTTTAAAATAACTGTATATGTTGTCTGTGTTATAATCAACACCTAAGAAAAGAGGCGCTTTTTGTATATATATATATATATATATATATATATATATATATATATATTTTTTATAAACTCAAATTTGAAAGTGTACCTTTTAGGTTCTGTGTGGTCTAGCTTGCTGTGATTAATTTTGGTGGTTCCTGCACATGTCCGTAATCATAGGAAAAAAGAAAAATGTCTCTACCATAATCTATGCAAAAGTTATTGTATTTCAACTGATGAGAGGTGCTGTACAAGCCACAGATACCGATCATTGTTTTCATATTTCACTATTCTTTTGTTTAATCAAACATAATTCACTGTGTTTGGACCACATCAGGCACATAAAAGGATTATTTATGCACATCACCTCAAAAACAGAGGAGATTGGCCCTGAAGCGCACAGCATAAGGTAAGAGATGACAGCTGTCTGTGCTATCTGGGGCTGATTAGTGATCATAAATGTATTGTTTTCACTTCTGCGGCATGGAAACAGCGTGATTCATTCAGCAACGGTTTGATACGTGAATATAATTCAGTAAAAAGAATGCTACAACCGTATGAGCACCGGCAAGAGCTTTCATTTGAGCTATAACTTGTACATGTGTCATATGAATAATATGAAAATGAACCAACGTAAAATACCTAGCTCGGGTATCCAAAATGCTGTGTTTTTAAGTCTGAATAACTTTTGTAAAGTAGAATAAAAACCAAAGTGATGCATATGTGCATAAAATATAGATTCTACATTTTCAAATGAAACCACTTAAATGTTAGCCCTTTAAATCTTAAAGCGAAATTCAATGACATCACGGACACGGTACCGCGGAGTTCAAAAAGATAAGCCTTACATGTTTATGTCAGTTTTATATCTTCTAAACGTGGATTTTGTCACTGTATTGGTGCGCACTAGCTTAAAGATATCCTAATAATGAACAATAGTGATACTCACGTCACATCTAAAAAAAACTTTATTTTAATGTCATGGGACCTTTAGATCCCAAACTGACAGTGAGGTTGAGGTGTACAATTAGGTATGAACTCAGGAACCATGAGAATTAAAAACGAATCTATGAGTACTGTAAACTTACTCCATTTAAGCTGAGGGAATTAGATATTTAATTGACTCATTATCTTAAACACTGAGTTCAAAACTCTTTTCAAATGAGTAGAATAAACTTGCAGTCAATTTTGCGTTACACTTATGTCATTTGATAGAGTTGACTGTTGGGTTTTACAGTGTACAAAAAACAATGAAAATCTACACTCAAAGAGTGCTGCTTGTTCAAGCTACTTATTTAAAATGAGCCGAATCAACACAACTCCTGAGATTTGTGTTCAATTTAAGTTTTGTGTTCAATTTGTAAAAACAATTTCGTTAACTTAATCAATATGTGTTGAGACAACATGAAGGAATTGTGTGGAACCCAGCATTTTTGACAGTGTAGACCTCAGTAGTATTTTGGTTAAACACTTACCAGCGGTGTGTAGTCTGATACCATCGTTGACAACTAGACTCCAACCAGGTTGTACACAGTAATATTCGCCCAAATCATCAGCACTGACATCGTTGATTATTAGGTGGCTTCTGCTTCCCTCTGAATATTTGCTGCGCAGTTTTTCATCATAATATTCAGCATCTTCAGTTCCAAAAGTCCTCATGATCATCATCGGACGAGCTGACGGTTTTATCACAAACCAAACAACAGCTTTTAATCTAAACTCACAGGCTACAGTCACAGTCTCTCCTAAAGTCACCTGTTGATCAGTCAAAGCTTCAGTGTGTTGATTCCACACCAGAAAACCTGCACATACACATGAATACACATCATTCAGATCATCTGATCACGACTGAATCACACTCAATAACACTGATAATGAGAAATCCACTTACAGAGGAGGGAAAGCAGCAGCGTCTTCATTCTGAGCTCTCGCTAAAGGTCTGTAAGGTTTGATCTTCACAGCATCTCTAATAGAGGAAGTGTTTATGCTGAACTTCAGAAAAAGTGCAAAATATCAGATGATATCATGTTCAACTCATACTGAGCTCATTAGGTTTTTTTTATTTTTTTTTTACTAAAAGTGTTGCAACATTTTGCAAATGTTATGCCCAAATATGCATACAAACATTCACTTCCTGAAAAGAAAATGTGTGCTAAAGGTCACACATTTAGTTTGTTTCTCTGAAACCCAAAAAAGCATAAGGAGAAGCGCATGAATATGTATTTTGCTTTGGAAACGGGAGTATGAAGCACTCAAAAAATGATGTTTGCAGTTTGTTCAATTTACTTATTTAAAATGAGCTGATTCCATACAAATCTTGAGTTTTTTAGGGCAACTTAATTGTTTTATGTTTAACTAAAAAGTTAACTTAATTTTAATAAAGTTGCCTCAACATAAATCCATTGTGTGGAACCCAGCATTTGTTACCGTGTGTGCGTTTGCAACATATCCTGCAGATTCAGATTTGATTTATTTATTTTCGAACATAAATTTCATACATAAAATATCACTGACAAAAAATACATTTCAACATGGTCGAAAATAGAGTGGGTTGAAGCACAAGCTTATTATTTTCCCACCCCATTACCACATACATCATTTGTCTATTACTTAAACTTATTTCTTCTTTTACTTATCTCTGCTTTTTACATGAGACATACTTTATCCGTTTGGCATCTTTGACAAATTATATGTTTGATTTCTTTTGTACCTTTACAGTTTGTAACATAGACCAAATAAATAAATACATAGTACTGCAAATAGCCATTAATTAAAATGTCATCATACCATTCTCGTTTTATTCCTTTTCAATCACCTTCATCATTATCATTATTATCCTGACATTGTTTGAGAGTCTGATCTAGACTGTTCCATAATTTCACACCACAGTTGCAGACAGACCCCAGATAGCATACGAATGTGGGCCACTTTAGGCAGTTATGTGGCACTGGTGGTCTTCCTTCTGACCAGACAAAATGAATGTGAGCCTGAAGTGGCCCACCTGTACAATGGCAAAGGGGGGCCAAAGATTCAAATTCATATATGGGCCATTTAAGGGCAAATTTTTGGCACTTATGGCAAAATATAATCTGAATGTGAGCCCAATGTGGCCCGTGTGAAAAATGATCAATTTGGCCCAAATGATGGAGGACAAATGTGGGCCACAGTTGGCATAAATTTGGCATAGTCATTTAAGGGTAATCTGGGTCTAAACCTAAAGTGGGTCACACGTGTAAGTGCAAATGAGGCCCAGTTATCTAAAGAAAAATGTGGGCCACCTTTGGCAAATATTTGGCACAGTAAGCTCTGGCTAATGCGGCTGTAAGCCTAAAGTGGCCCAGAGAAAATATTGAAAATGTGGCCCAGTTATTTTAAAACAAATGTGAGCCACTTTTGGCAAATATTCGGCACAATAAGCTTTGGCTAATGTAGCCATTAGCTTATAGTGGCCCGGAGAAGATATGGAAAATATGGCCCAGTTATCCTAAAACATATGTGGGCCACTTTTGGCGAATATTCGGCATAGTAAGCGATAGCTAACGTGGATTTGAGCCTAGAGTGACCCAGAGAAGATATGGCAAATGGGGCCCATTTATCCTAAAACAAATGTGCGCCAGTTTTGGCAAATATATGGCACAGTTAGCTCTGGCTAATGTGGCTGTAAGCCTAAAGTGGCCCAAAGGAGATATGGCAAATGTGGCCCAGTTATCTTAAAAGATATGTGGACTACATTGACTAAAGCCACCATCATGGAGAAAAGTGTTTGCTTTAGTTGGGTTCATAGCCCTGAACCTCTTCATATAAATTTTCTTTTGGGCTGCTGTAACATTTAAGAAGTTTGCTTGAAAAGTTTATTCATTACAGCAAACAGATAAAAACAAATAAATAAAAAACAAATAAATAAATAAAATTAAGTGAGGCACAACCTGTGATGAAATAATATAATTCACTGCTGATTACCAATTTTTAATCCATTATTAAAAGTAACAGGTCAGATCTGGGCCAGAATAAAAGCAAGCTGTGGCCCAGAATAGGGTCAGTTCTGGTTCATTTGGTTGAATTCTGGCTAATACGTGGTATTGCTTTGGCTTATTTGTGGACCAGATCTGACAAACAGGAGTGGACCGCCCAAGAGCCATCATTCCATTTAGTATGTGGTCCAGATAAGTGTCTAGTGTGGGCCGGATCTGGGCCAGAAGGAAAGCAAATTGTGGCCCAGAATAGGGTCAGTTCTGAGTCATTTGGTTGAATTCTGGCTGATATGGGATTTTGCAATGGCTTAATTGTGGCCCAGATCTGGCAAACAGGAGCGGACTGCCCATGTGCCATCATTCCATGCGTTTTTTTGGGCCGGATGTAAGTGTCTGGTGTGGGTTGGATTTGAGCCACATGAATTTTGCTAGCTGGGACATACACAAACCTTTTAAAGTTGTCCTTGTTTTCAACCTCCTAAAATTGAGTTCTTCTCTCAGATTATATCCCCCTTGTCTTTCTTCAAAAAACTTTTGTCTGCATTTTGGAAGTAATTTATTCTTAGATTTAAACATAAATTGTGCTTTTTAAATTTAACCAAATCATTGAACAAGTATCTTCAATTTACAAAAAAAAAAAGAATTTGTATGCTCCAAATACCCCACATTTTCTTTCAGTCTAATTACTTGTTTCGGCATTTTACATACAGATCGTAAATTAGATTGGTATGTATTCCCTTAAATTTCAATACAATAACTCATATATGGCAACATAAGTGTGTTATATAATATATATACATTGATTTACTGTCCAGGATAAATCTTGCTTTAAACACTATTGCTTTTACTCATTTTGATCTCACATTATTTATTTGTGTAAATTTCCTGTTAAAGATGGTTAAAAAAAATCTTCCAGTCACACTTGCTTTCTATGCATAACAGTTCCAAACAAAGAGATATATGAGAAACAAATACAAATTTGATTTTTATGTAAAATATAAATCTAGGGGGGAAAAAATTTACAAAGATCATATGATATTAGATCTAAACAAATCTATTTTAATAGAATTTAAATAGTAAATTACTACTGTAAAAAAGTAATGAGTTGAGTTTACTTAGAAAACCTGTGGGAACTGCTTACCGCAGAATTTTCAAGTAAATCAATACATAATTTCTGATTTGAACAAGCTACTATAACTTAGTTCAGGTAACTTTTTTATTTGTAAAGACTACCTAAAACTTGAGTACAGTCAACTCAGTATAACAAGTTCAGCTGACTTACAGGTCTAAGTTAGGCTTAATACGGATAACTCAAATAAAACAGTTCAGTTTTTTGCTAGTTCATGTTACTAGAAGAATGTGTGGAAACTGATTACCTTAAATTTCTCAAGTAACTTGTACTCACAACTCTAAGTTAATCATACACAGCCAGTGAATATGAATTATATATTTAGAATTATATAATTGTGAATTTATGCCTTTATGTTTACAAATATTGTGATAATTATACTGTATAAGAGTCATTATTTCAGTATATTAAGGCTAACACATAATTCAGGTTATTTGAAGCAAACACAACGGTATAGAAAGCTAGTTTGAACTTTTAATGTAGCCAAAATTGATAAAACATGGTCATAAAATCGTCAAACCGCCCCATTCACATGCTTAATGATTTTTAAAATGCCTCAAGGCACGGAGAAGGACTCTTCATTTGCCTGTTTGTTCCACCTTGTAATGTAAAAGTCGCGCTACTTCCGCTTTGAATGTCAAATATGGCCACGTCCAGACTGGAGATTAATTTCGTCAGATTATTGTCGCGCTGTGAATCGCTGGCTTCAGAGAAAAGAGCCGAGACAGAATGGAGACTAGAAAAGGTAATAATATATGTTTTAAAAAGCTTTATATTCCGACTGTAAAATATTCTGCATGAAAACAACACAGCAATAATACCAACGCCATGTCTAATGTGGATTACGTGTCAAAACAAGGCACGTATTATTGCATTCAAATCAATTATCTCTTTTTAAATTAATCATTTTTACTCCGCTTTTTGTTTCTTCACTTAGGACGGTATTTAAAAATGTCTATAGAAGGCAAGACACTGCAGGTGGATAGGGGTAAAACATTATTAATAATAAGTATCACCATACTTCAACAGCTGATTGATTAACTTACATCAACAAATTTATACATTTTTACAGACATTTTCAATAATGTTATGTTTGAATTCGCTCTAATCTGCATATATATGTAGAACAAAAATCTGCACCTTACTTGGATGAATATTTGGGTTTCACTACACTGTAAAAACTGATTAAAAGCAAGTAAACCAATGGCCTTAAAAGAAATAAGTTGACCTTACACTTTACTTAAAAATAAAGTAGCTAAACCCGTTGTAAATGTTAAGTTGACTTAACCTAATTTTTCATAATTATGCAGATTTTACTCACTTTTTAAAATGAAGTCAGCTAATCACTTTTACAGTGTACTTGATCACTCCATATTTTAGAAAACACTGCAAACAGACAGAAAATAAAATTCCTTTTTACAATTTTACAGATTTTTAAATAATGTTGTTTAAACTGCACTAATTTGCATATTTATCTAGCCAAAAATCTTACTTTGGATAAATTTGGGGTTTTAAAAAAGTGATTAGTTACTTAAAACGAGTAAACCAATGGCCTTAAACAAAACAAGTTGAAAATACTGCAAACAGACGGAAAATTAAATACTTTTTATATTTTTAAAATAATTTTCTGTTTAAATCTGCATTAATTTGCATACTTATATAGCCAAAAATCTTACATGGGATAAGTCTTGGGTTTCTCTACAGTTTAAAAAGTATTTAGTTTACTTTAGGCAAGTAAACCAACTGCCTTAAACAAAACAAGTTCACTTTACTTAAAAATAAAATGACTAAACCTGTCGTAACTTGTAAATTTTAAATTGACTTAACTTAATTTTTTAGAATTATGCAAATTTTACTCCCTGTTTTAAAATGAAGTCAGCTAATCACTTTTACAGTGTATTTGATCACCATATATTTTTAAAAAAGTTCTGCAGACAGACTGAAAATTAAAAACTTTTTTACATTTTTAATAATGTGTTTAAATTTGCACTAATTTTCATATTTATCTAGCCAAAAATCTTACTTTGGATGAATTTTGGGTTTCTCTACAGTTTAAAAAGTGATTAGTTACTTAAAGCGAGTAAACAAACTGCCTTAATAGATGCAAGTTGAGTTTACTTAAAAATAAAATAACTAAATCTGTCGTAACTTTTAAATGTTAAGTTGACTTAACCATTTTTTTTAGAATTATGCAGATTTTACTAAATTTTTTAACATAGTCAACTAATGACTTTTACAGTGTACTTTATCACTCCATAGTTTAGAAAATACTGCAAACAGATCAAAAATGTTACACTTTTAAAAAATTTTAAACCAATTTTTATCAAAGTTCTGTTTAAATCTGCATTAATTTGCATATTTATCTAGCCAAAAATCTTACTTTGGATAAATCTTGGGTTTCTCTACAGTTTAAAAGTGTTTAGTTACTTAATGCGAGTAAACCAATGGTCTTAAAAGAAACAAATTGACTTAAAAATAAAGTAACTAAACTCGTTGTAAATGTTAGGTTGACTTACTTTTTCATAATTATGCAGATTTTAGTCACTTTTTTTAAAATGAAGTAAAAAAAATCACTTTTTATAGTGTACTTGATCACTCCATAGTTCAGAAAAAAATGCAAACAGAAAATTAAATACTTTTTTACATTTTTGTAAATATTTGAAGTGTGTTGTAGGTTAGTGCTGCAGAAGTGGAGATTTATTTTGAGAAATAAGCTTTATTGAGGTAAAGTTGGTTTTATTTTTGCACATTCTGACATTCACTATGTTAATATAATTTAAAATTCTAAATAGTAAAATCACATTACCAGCCGATAACGATCAAAAATCATCGACATTGTTCACAATTAATTAAATAGTGCTAATGTTGTTTTGAAGTCAATTTCAGACTGAATATTCAAATTATCATGTCACAAATTGTCACCTTTAAAAAATGAATGAATGTGCGAATATACAACCAACTTTACCCCAATATAAACCTTTACAAAATATCTGTTGTAATTGAAATCTAAAGACACAAATTGATAAAGTGAAGAAAAAGAAACACTTAAATGTGTTTTTCGGATGTTTTCTTTACATATGATTGAAAAAAAAAACCCACAGAAATCTCAATTGACTTTGATTTGAAAAAAAACTGTATGTTTTGTTTTGTTTTTGTCTTTTCAAGTATGTCGGTGCTCTCGAGGAGATGTTTGTCGCCCTCAAAAAAAGTCCCAGGTAATTTTGAGCCATAATGTATTACAAAAAATACATATATTGGGTGAAAACGCCTCAATGTATCAATATTAGCTTGAAAGCTAAAAACAGCTAGCTTAGCAATGTTTCTACAGCAGTTATGAAATGTCTCGTTTGATATGAACTACCACAGACATTGACTTTTATAATAATAATTCATCATTTATTCGTGATGTCTTCCCTCAGCAAACCCACACCGGAAACGCTGACAGACTACAACCGTAAAGTGGATTTCCTCAAGGGGCTTTTAGAGGCAGAGAAACTGGTCTGTTTTTATGTTTGGTTTTTTGGGTTTCCACATATTGATGGAAGCAACTTTTCTTCCTGTGATTTTAACTGTTGATGTTTTGTTTCTGTTTTGTAGCCGTCTCCAGCTGAGAAGTCTTTAGCCAATCAGTTTCTGGCTCCCGGACGAACGCCGACGATCTCCAGTGAGAGAACGCCAGCCAGCAAAACAGTCCACATTCAGAGCAAAGCCAGATGTGCTGGAGAGATGCGGAAAGAGTTGATGAGCAGCGTACGAGAGCTTGATTTCTTTACTATAAATCTGCTTCATTTGGATTTGTTTTATTTATTTTTTTGTTTAAGTTGATTTGTTTTATTTAAAGACTAGATCACTGGTGTAAAATGCAGCTCCTGGAGGGCCGCTGCTCTGCACAGTTTAGTTCCAACCCTGCTTAACAAACTTGTGCCACGGTCACAGTTGAGTTTGTGCTTACAAAATTCTGTAGTACGGCGCTGCGAAAAGGAGTGGAATTAAACAAGATGATTAGACATTTACGAAATCAAGCGATTGGTCCATATTTACGTTTCTATCCAGAGAGGTCATGTTTTAATCATTGATTGGTCTCACGCAATTACGTGATGGGATTTTCGCAGGTCAAAGTTCAACAAGCTTGAACTTTACAACGCAGCGAACTACGAAACTTGTCGCAGGTGCTTGCGTTTCCGTTCTGACGCATTCGGGTGAGTATGACTGAAAATCTATGGGGTGAAAAGTCCAGTGTGACCACGGCTTTACCTGTAGGTTTCAAGCAAGCAGTCAATTAGTTTGATCAGGTGTGTTTAATTAAACTGTGCAGAGCTGCAGTCCTCCAGGAACTGGATTTGATACCTGTGGACTAGATAAAGATCCTTCTAATGTTGTGTTAAAGATCAGCACTATTGTATTAATTCAAATTCTATTTAGTTTTCATTTATTTATTATTTAACTTGAATTCGTTTTTTTATTTTAAGATTTTCTTTTCTTTGTTTAGTCAGTTTTTGTGGTAATTATAAAATTAGTAGCTAAAATAAAATAGTCTTGGAAAAGTCTTGGTATTTTCTATTTAAATTATGTATTACTATATTTTTTATATTTGTATAACATAAATAATATAATATAATATAATATAATATAATATAATATAATAATATAGTGCTTCACAAGCCTAAACAAATGTTAAAAACTTAAAGTTTGTGTATTCAAATATAGAAAGAGATAAGCAAAAATAATATAATAATATATTAAAATATACTTAATTTTAATTTTAGATAAATTATCTGCAAAGAATTTTGTGCATATGTGTTTTTGAAATGTAACTTTTTCTCTATATTTATATATTTATTTATATAATTTTTATTAATTGTATTTTAGTTTTTTCAGTTTTTAGAGATTTTAATAACAAAATAAACATGAGAACTAGGAATGAAACAAAAAATATTTTCACTTTATGTATTTCAGTTAACAGCAAAAGTTTTATATTGAATTCTTTTGGTATATTAATTAATAAAATGTTATCTTTAAGCATAAAACTATCAACAATAGTATTGTTATTGTAGTAAAAATAAAACTATTATATTCTTACTGTTTATATGTATATGTGTGTGTTACAGACACAAATTATTGAGATATTTTTAAATGTAATTTATACTCATTAATTATTCATTTTCTTTTCGGTTTAGTCCCTTTATTAATCTGGGGTCGCCACAGCAGAATGAACCGCCAACTTATCCAGCATATGTTTTACGCTGCTGATGCCCTTCCAGCTGCAACCCAGCTGCTGGATAAGTTGGCGGTTCATTCCGCTATGGTGACCCCAGATTAGTAAAGGGACTAAACCGAAAAGAAAATGAATGAATGAATAATTTATATTTAAGCAGTAATTAAGACAGTTTTTAGTAATAATGTAATGCATTTTTCTTTTTTTAACATTTACTTTTTAAAATATCTTATTTTTTAAATCATATTATTATTATTATTATTATTTCCTTTTTAAATTGTATTAATATTAATAATAATAATGCATATTATTTAAAGGCGCCTTTCATATTATATGTTTATGTTTCCGTATTAGTCATTTTAGTACATTAGGTACATGTGAAACATTTAGATTTACATTTTCAGGTTTAATTTATTTTTACTTTGAGTAACTAAACCATCATCTTCATAACATCATTCATATATAATATTAATTGTAAAAATATATATATTTAGTACTAACCCTTCTATCTTTGTCTTAATAACAGGGTGTGTCAAATTCCGGTAAGCTGTGTCTTGTATTTTAACAAACTCAACATATTTCAGAAACTGATTGACACCTTGATCAATTATCGTCTTTATTCTTCACTTTCAGCTTTACTAGAGAACGACCTCCGACACAGGAAGTAGGTTTCACTTTCTTCAGTTCTCCGTCGAATGAGCTGCTGTTACTGGTTTCTACATCATTCCTGTTTCTCCTCTGTTTTTCAGAAGTCTTCCAGTAGACGAGCGTCAGTCGGCAGCAGAACTGGACCAAATCCTGCAGCATCATCACAACCTGCAGGAGAAACTGGCCGATGACATGCTGAATCTCGCGCGCAACCTCAAGAACAACACACTCGCCGCTCAGAACATCATCAAGCAGGACAACCAGGTGCTGTTTCTTTCTGAAAAAAAGATTTGGAGATGTATAAAATAATTGCATCTACTCACAGCAAATGATGTGGCACATTATAAAAGTGTGCATGTTTTAATTACGACATGCGTCTAGACTTCTCTTTTGTGTTTTTTGGTTCTGTTATAAGAGTAATATTTCAAGATATTTATTTTCATTGCATTTTAAATACAAATGAACACTAATCTCAAATTAATTATTGTCATATATATATATATATATATATATATATATATATACACACACACACACACACACACACACACACACACACAGTTGAAGTCAGAATTATTAAACCTCTTTGATTTATATTCATATTTGCCAAATGATGTTTAACAGAGCAAGGAAATTTTCACAGTATGTCTGATAATATTTTTTCTTCTGGAGAAAGTCTCATTTGTTTTATTTCAGCTAGAATAAAAGCAGTTTTTAATTTTTTTAACATCATTTTAAGGACAAAATTATTAGCCCATTTAAGCTATTGTTTTCGATAATTTACAGAGCAAACTATCGTTAAACAATAACTTGCCTAATTCCCCTAACCTGCCTAGTTAACCTAATTAACCTAGTTAAGCCTTTTAATGTCACTTTAAGCTGTATAGAAGTGTTTTGAAAAATATCTAGTCAAATATTATTTACCGTCTTTATGACAAAGATAAAATAAATCAGTTATTAGAAATGAGTTATTACAACTATTATGTTTAGAAATGTGTTTTAAAAATCTGCTCTTTGTTAAACAGAAATTGGGGAAAAATAAACTGGGGGGGGGGGGTTGTGGCTAATAATTCTGACTTCAGCTGTATATATAATATTACTAGTATTATTAATAATAAATATAAAATATATAAAATAAGCTTATAATAATAAAAATAATAAAATAACAGTATTTAATATTACTATTGTTATTATCATTAATCAGTTGGATGTATTATATTTAATATATTTAATAGAATAATTGTATAATGTGATTGTACCATTACTACCATATAATATAAATTCTTTATTTGTTTATTAGTTTTTGAGAGAAATTTACCACAATAAGCATTAACAGTATGTAGATGCTCAAAGTTAATATAATTAATCATATTGACCAGCTTTTTGCATACTTTATTTGGTGTATTTCTAAAGTGTATATAGTAATTATACTTATAACTGTTGTTATTGTTACTAATTTATTGAAAATTAGATGATATTAGGTTAGAAACTGTTTTTGTATATATAAAAGTGCATGTGTTCATTAGTTTTTAGTGGAATGTAAGCTGCATAAAGAGTACGTTTTTGAATGGCTGGTTTACTTGAGACCACTAGAGGGCAGCAATATGCTAGTGTTTACACTTGCAGATCTTTCAAGTGTCCTCCTGTGGTTTGTTTACATACTTCAAATCCATATCGAAACCAATGTCAGTTTTAATCACTTTATTAGCATATTATGTTAATAAATTGGCTATATTCATAATGTTTTTGTCTAATATATTGGCCTGTTTTAATTTCTTTCTGTTGTTTATGATTTTTGATTCTCTCTGCTTTGCAGACCCTCACACAGTCCATGCGTCAGGCGGACGTGAACTTCGAGAAGCTGAAAACCGAGTCCGAGCGACTGGAGCAACACGCCAAAAAATCCGTCAACTGGTTCCTGTGGCTGATGCTAATAGTTGTTTCTTTCACCTTCATCAGCATGATCCTGTTTATAAGACTGTTCCCGCGGCTCAGATGATGCTAATCCAGTTTAGCAAAACAGCTAGGTTTTATTTATCTATAACAAAAGGTTTACATATATAGACTCCAGCCAAAAGTTATAGAAATGTATGATTGACGGCCTCAGTCATTCCCGCGGAAAATCTACATTACCTGCATGCCATTGTGATGTCATAACGAATTCGCGCCGAATCCCTACTGTCAATAAAGTGATGAGGGAATCCCTTCTTTTGTTCGACCATGTTGATGATGCTCGTTAATAACGGTAAGTTATTGTTATTCCATAACCGCAAACTATTCGTCAACCATTTAATAAACGACTTATCTAACAATAAACGCTGTTAAAATTAAGTTTCAAGTAAACCATGTCTTTTTAAAGACGAGCTTAAATTAAATTACCTCATGAAAATTCTGTTTAATGTAGCCAAATAAAACACTACATATGAGATGCTTAACATGACTTAACGTTTAATTCCGCTTTTTTATGACCTCAGTCAATTGATCCACGTACTGTACTGTACGATGGCTATAAAAATGCACCGAGCTGATTTAAAGTCCGGTCGGCTTGTATCGGTTCAGTGAGGAAATGTTCTGGCAAACAGCAGGAAGTTATTTTGCTTGTCGGACGCACACATGGAGACTGTCTTCTCCACCCAGAGAGTAAATGGCCCGTATTTAGCTGAAGGTTTATTTCTGCGTGTTCTCTTATGGTGGATGAAGTGTTAAGTATTGCTCAGATATGGTGTTTGTGCTACTATTGATGGATGTTAATGTTTGTCTCAAGCGTCCCGTCATTGATTGTTCGTCATGTACTGTTTGCTTTAATTGATTCACATGAGAACAGGCGACACATTGTTTTTTTTTTTTTTGTTTGGTTTTTTTTGTCTTCAATGTGTTCAAATGTAGTGAGACTGAAAAATAGAGACGTGTGTATTGTTTTAATAAAATTATTTGCAGTCAACCATATGGTGTTTAGCTGTTTTTAATCATTTTGACAAATGTGACTGGGTGGGTTACGTTTGCTTATGGGTTTTTATATAGCTACAGTTGAAGTTAGAATTATTATTAAAATTTTTTTTTCTTTTTTTAATATTTCCCAAATGATGTTTAACAGAGAAAGGACATTTTCACAGTGTGTCTGAAAATATTTTTGTCTTCTGGAGAAAGTCTTATTTGTTAATTTCGGCTAGAATAAAAGCAGTTTTGATTTTTTAAAAACTATTTTAATGTCAAAATTATTAATGTTAACCCCATATATTATTTCAAAAGTCTACAGAACAAACTATCAATAAAACAAACCATCATACAATAATTTGCCTAATTACCCTAACCTATCCTACCCTAAAATAATTCAGGGGGACTAATAATTCTGACTTCAGCCGTATATAGAAAAGAAGGTTTTATATGTTAAGACTAAACATTTTGTATCTATCATTAATTCTATTTTAAGAGCTCCCATCATGCAAAATCAACTTGTTTGAAGCTGGTTGGTTGTAAATGTGTGTACAGAGTATCCGCAGGTCTTAAAATGTCTTACATCTCAAAACTAAATTTTTGGTCTTAAAAAGTCTTCAATCTACTGAAATGTTGTGTTGTAAGTCCTAAATCTTTTTCAACAGATTTTGATTTTCCTGTTATTTTTTCTTTATTTTAATATTATTGTAGACAGAAGTAATTTACAGCTTTGTTTTGTTCTATTCTTGGTAAGGGTTATAGGGTTTGTAAATGGATATATTTGAAGACTAATAAAAACAAATTTATTTGTTCAACAAATATAAAAAATAAATAAATAAAAAATAAAAACTAATAATAATAATTTTTTAAATATTTTCACTACATTTGAAATATTTTTTTTAAAAATTGAATAAAGCTAAAATAATTGTATCATTAAATGTGTTGAAATGTAATAATTTTTGATGGGGCAAGTGAAAATATTTTTAACTGGCATATGCGGAAAAAAATAAATCCTTAGCATTTAGCCCTGTACCGTATCAGTCTAAAATTTCATTCATAATAATGTTAAAATGTCTTGAGTCTTAAATCTACTGAAATGTTGTGTTGTAGGTTTTAAATCTTTTTTTCTTAAATTTTTTCTCTCTCTATTTTATTATTATTGTAGACTGACGTAATTGACAGCTTTGTTTTGTTCTATTCTTTGTAAGGATTATAGGGTTTGTGAATGGATATATCTGAATATTAGTAAAAAAAAAAAAAATCTAAAAATATTATTGAAAAAACTAAATTATCATTGTATCTTTAAATGTATTACATTTGAATAATTTTTAATAGGTCAGGTGAAAATATTTTCTAACTTGGATATTCAACAGCGTTCAGCCCAGTATAAGTCTAAAATTTCATTCATAATGGTCTTAAAAATGTCTTAAAGTCTTAGTAAAACCTACAGAAACCCTGGTATAGTGTGTCCACAGTCACTGGAGGGATATAAACACAACCAGTCTATTTCTTTTTTTTCCATTTCGTGATGTTAAAATAGAATACAAGTCCCAGCTATTTTGAAGCCCACTGCACTGTGAAGTAGCAGTGCAGTTTTTCCTGCCACCGATATTCATTGACAGGCTTATATTTGCATGTCTCAGTCTACAAGACAGGATTTGCAAAGAAACTGGGTTTCAAAGATCTGTTCCAACTCTGTGATTCAACTGCACTTCAAAAAGCAGTAAGTGCTACACTTTGTATTTTTTTAAATAGCAATTTGAACTACACTGTTTGAGTTACATAATTTATTACTGCTGGAATCTCCACAGCTGCATTCTACAGACCAGTGTCTCCAACCTTAAGGGTCAATGCGGACTGGTCAGCTCTTGACAATTTAATGGCAATGATGACAAGCTGACAAAACATTGCTGCCACTCTGATACAAGTTGGAGATGTGCATATTCCATAAGTAAAATAAAGCTGATCGGTCAGTTCTTGTCACAATGCGCTTGTGGTATTCTGTAGATGTTTTCAAATGGGTGCATCTGGAAGCCATCTCCAGCAGTCGATCTTCTTGCACAGACATGCTGGATTCATGTGATTCGTTGACAAATGGGTTGGGGATTCTATTCCTTGGCAGTTCGTAGGTCCTTCACTGGGCCTTTCCCCTTCCCAAATAAACTTTCCAAAGACGACTATTTCTTACTCATTTAGCTGCTTGTGGGTGACGGAAATGCAACCAAGAGCATACAGTCATTTTTTAAAATAAAGATTTTTCAAAATTAAAGATTGTTCAGAACCAGAAATTAAGTAAAATGAAAATAGTTAATAATTTCTTGTGTGGTCCGGTACTGGTCTGCATCCTGGGGGTTGGGGACCACTTGTACAGACAACTGTAAACGAGGATGCTTCAATCACATAACAGGAGTCCCGGTTTGTGGGTGTTAAATTGGGTTGATTTGTACAGCAGCTTTGCTATAAAGGATCTCTGTGCAGCACCATATTTACTCGTTTGGTGGGCATCCTGTCACATTTGCAATGAGTAGATGAGCAAAAACAGCACAATGTGTTAAACACAAGTGTGTGTGTGTGCAGAACATTGTAACTCATTTGTGTGTGGCTCATTCATCATTGCAACTAGGAAGGCTGAATAAACTCCACAGCAGCTACATAAAATAAGCATTGGGAAACTTTCTGGTTCAGGCTCCCTGTGGTGTTTGTGACTGGGTCTCTGCTTCATTGTGTCTGTCATTTTTCTGGTTTGTCCTGACATCTGACCCAGATTATTCTTTTTTTAAAGCTAAATGTCTAAAGAGTGGACGGGGAGAACCAACTCATTGTGATTTAAAGGCACCAAGCTACAATTCCCTCTGACCCCAAATTTGACATTTTTAACAGAATTTAATAATTGATCTAGTGGGTATTTTGACTTGAAACTTTACAGACACATTCTGGAGACATAATAGATTTCTGTTACATCTTGTAAAAGGCCCAAAATTGGAGTCCTTAAAATTGTTTAAAAAAACAATAGACAAATTACTGCAGCGAGGTTGCAGAAAAAAATGGGAGTGCTAGCATTTACAGCGAGGGAAGGACATGCGATACGGCACAGAGTTTGTTGTTGTCTTGGAAATAAATGTTATTGATTATATATTTTATATATTATTTACTTAATGCTTTCAGCATTTTATAACAGCTCGTCACCCAGTGATAAGCACAGTGGTTCGGCAAAATTAACGTCAAAATGAGCGGCATTCATCTGACAGGTTCATTTGCGATAGCACGCTCCCAATGAATGTTGAATAAGACGAAATGATCAAGCATCCAGCCCGAAATATACAACTATCACTTTGAAACTCCAAGTGATTTTACAGAAGGGAAGTTAAAGGCCTACAAGTCTTTGGATGCCAACAATGTTGTTCATGTGCAAGAAATAATGTTCCATAATTACTAGATTCAAAACTTTGGCAAGGTAAGAAGACGGAACTGTACAAGGCCTGGGCAATCATCAACAAGCAAAACAACTGCATTCTGACAGTGAACTCCACCGGTACGGCAGGGTATGTAAACGTACATTTTTACATTTCATTCTAAGCATTCAGTATCTGCAGTTTAATTCACCATATTTAACTGTTTTTGCTGAAATCATTGCCATAATCAAAAACAAGTAATGTGTATGATTCAGCATAGCGTGAACTTACCTGATATAAAATGAGAACTGCAGAGTCCAGCATTTTTAATTAGGTCCTCACTCCATTCAGCTCCCTTTTAGCCAAAAAACGTCTGCGGTTGGCATTAAAAGCAGTGTGGTGTACGGTAAAAGTTACGTTTTTTAGTTTTGGACTTTCGATTTTGGCATCCTACCACACAAGACAACATGTTTGCTATTGCAACCAGTCTTTTTTTGCAACCGGGAACTCGTGTGACATCAGTTATGAGGTTGGTTATTCCTCTATTGAGAAAATTAGACCAAATGGGAACCTTTTGGTAGAACATTCTGTACGAGCTGTTTCCCAGGAAGAATTTTTTTGTTAAAAAAAAAAAAGATGTCTAATAGACGTCTAAACATAGTCGTCTTAGCTAAAACAAAGCTAAATTTGGTCTGTCAGTGAAAATCTAATAGAAGCTAAGAATAGGCCTAGACTGGTCACATATAAATATAGACTACTTGACTACACATATAAAGTCTGTCTATTTGACCACTAGTCTAGTTTTGGGCTATTCTTAAATGTCTATTAGATTTTCACTGATTTAGCCTTGTTTTAGCCAAGTGTCTACAATTAGATGTCTATTAGACGTCTATTAAACACAAAATTGTTTGCTTGGTTCATACATCTTAACATTTGCCCTACAAATTTATACAATATTTTATTATTTTTCTACTGAATTACTTTAGGCTAAACCAGTAGGCAGAGTTTAATAGTGTGTAACCTCACATTGTTGTTGTTTCATAAATTAGCTGTGCTGAATACTGTAATATCGTAACAACATGTCTGACTATAAATAAACGGAAAACTGACGGTATAATGTCTAATTTCTGGTTTGTGGTACAGAAATGAAAGTTGAAAATGCCCCAAACTATTCACTGAAGTAAGGGGAATGACCTAACATCTCAGGAATATTTTATGCTTGGAAAAAAACAGCTGATGTACATGGAAATTTATGTACTTTGAAATAATGTTCTTTACGACCCCTGTCGTTGTTAGCTTAGCAGTCCCCTAATGCATCATAAATCATTGTTTTTCTGACACAAGGCTCCCGTGGACCCAAAGGCCTAATTTTCCAAACCAGGTCGATCCACCTTTGAAGTAAAGCATGCAGATAAAGTAGCTGGGAGTTTTAATTTCGCAGTTCCTGACAGAGAAAGCTGGAAGGTGGTGGGTTAGCTGGGGTGAAGGGATTGAAGTGACACCTCCGCCTGGCCGCGGGCCTCCGCTACACCGCAGGGGAACCCAGCAGGTGCTGCAGTGTTCCTGGAAAATACTCAAGTTCACAGAGATTAAGACATAATAAACCCGCCTTT